GTTGATGTGCTCGAGCGTGCTGCCGGCGCCCGACCTCTCGAGGTATGCGGCCGTGCTGAAGATGAGCAGCTGCACAGCCCAGATCAGGCCGGACAGGCAGCTGTTGAAGTTGCCCGGCTCCTTCCACGACTTGGTGCGTGGCTTGACGCTCAGCATCGCGCAGAAGCTGAGGAGCGGCGAGCTGAAGCGGTCGCCGCCGAACTCGTGGCAGACGAGGGCCATGCAGAGGGATCGGAGGGCGTCGTTCAGCGCTAAGCGGTCTCCGTCGGCAGCGCACTCCAGGGCGGCCTCCCAAGCTGTCGTCTGCTCGTCCGTCAGCCGGATCCGGTCCTCGGGGCACCTGCCCTGGTCCGCGCTCAGAGGTGGCGTGAAGTGGCTGCCGCAGTAGGCGACGCGGTAGCAGTACGCCATGAACTGCTTCCAGTACCCAAAGTTTGTGCGCAGTGTGGATGGCTCCTTCTTGGGGTCGAAGCCGCGCACCCTGCCTGCCCTGCAACTGGCTGGTGCCGATGAGGTAGGGGCGCCATGGAAGCGGCTCAGCGCGAGCTGCCTCGCACGTCAGCATGCAGTCCGGCCCGTCGAAGCACCAGCCGTGCACCTCAGCGAGGATCTCGTCCATGACCTCGAGCATCAGGAACAGCTCGGGCTCTCCCTCATCTGCGCTCTTCGGCAGTGCAAAGGAGGCGTGCATCTCGTCCTTCTCTAGGCCCCGCACGTGGTTCTCGATGCCAGTCCGCCTCAGCCACGGGACCGCAGCCGAGGGGTGGCTGTCGAAGCCGTGCACCTTGTTGCCCTCCGTCTTGATGTCGTCCGCTACCATGGTCGCGTCCGCGTCGGCCAGGTCGAAGAAGGCCTGCTCCTGCGGCTCGAGGGCGATGGCGGCAGTAGCTGCGTCCCCTTCCGCCCTGTCGTCGTCTGTAACCACAAAGTACCGGACATGCTCGGTCTTTGCGAAGAAGGTCTGCACCGTGCATCTCTGCCACGCGCCACCCTCACTCTGCTGCGACGGCTTCTGCCCGTGCTCCCGGGACACGTGCGCCCTGATGGCCGGCCCGGACCGGGTCAGGGTCGGCCGGCTGTCGTCGCAGAGGATGCAGGAGAATGCCGGATGGCGGCGCAGTCCCTCGATGGCGATGCAGGGCTGGTCTGGCAGGGCGACCTGTCCCGGGGGCCGCAGCTCATGCGTCGCGAAGAGGTCGAGCAGGGTGCGCAGCTCCGGCCCCTTGAGGTCGTGGGGTGGGTGCCTCAGGTGCCACTCCTGGCTGGCGCGTGCGGGCATGAGGCAGGTCCCGCAGTCGCGGCAGAGCAGCACCCCGTGAGTTGCGAGGTAGGAGAAGCTGGCCGCCATCCTTCCCTTGCGCGAGCGGTGTGTGTGCGCTATTCGCCCTTCGTTGCATACTCTGTATGCGTGCTTGATGCGCCTGCGCCGTCCCGGGGGTCTCCCAATTTGCTGCACAATAATCGCTCCACAATGGCCCGTGCGCGCGCGAGCGACAGGGGTCGCTCGCGTGGGGATTCCCAATTTGCACTACAGATACGGCCGCTTCTAGGGGTAGGTGTTAACCTCTGACTTACCCCTGAGTGTAACGCTGACTTCTAAACGATAGAAGACACAGAGGTTCTCTTGCGTAAAGGTTTACTTATCAGAGGAGGCAGGGGATCAGACACAAAGGCTTCAAGTAACACGTTACTAGTATATAACAAATACTGTATTGAGTTGAGCACGAAGCTCCTATCTAAGGAAATACTATCTACTTATATAGTGGCGTCGTGCCTAGTGGACTCTTGGGAACTCACTCGAGTCCTCGGCAGTGTTTTCAGTAGTATTGCCCGTATACGGGAGGCTCTCGTATACGGGCCCGTATTATACTTAAGTATTCATACGACCCGTATCATAACACCTCTTCGCCGCTAGTATTATACTTAAGTATTGCTGGCCATACTTCAGTATTATACTGGCAATACTTAAGTATTTCACGTGATCCTTTCACAATTTTCAGGTCGTCGTGAAAACTCTGCATTTTATCCTTACGTCTTATGATTCAGCCTACATCATGGCTTCTGAACCTTCTGATGTTGTATCTACTATCGAAAGTGAACAATTTAATCAGTTTGAACAGGATACTACAACCTCATCAACTATTGGCTGCTCTATTCCGTCCCAATCTACCTCCCATACTACGTCAAAGGTAGCTAAGCTATGCACATCACCGATATGGGACTTTACAAAAGTAGGACATTATGAAATAACCTTCAATATCTACGGCAAGGAGTCCTGGTGTTGCAAGTTCTGTTCTAAGGAGTATACTGTTGGTGGGGGCACTAATATCATCATCAAGCACTTAAAGGAGCGCCATTCCATTGACTTGAAAACACCACAAGAGCAACGCATTGATGGATATCAATCCACAATAGCTGTAGCCTTTGCCAGGCCACACACAATCAATCATAAACGCCGTAGACTCAACGATGTCACTGCTGTTAGGCCTTTAGATCCACGTGTTCTTGAAGATCTCTATGTGCGCTGGATAGTAGCATGTGGAATTGCATTCCGAATGGTTTCAATCCCCGAGTTCCGCACGTAAGTAGTATTACCTTTCATGATTTAAGGCTTTTATTAATATATATATAGCATGCTTCACTATTTAAATCCAGCCATCAATGAATGGCTGCCTCATAGCTCGACAACAATTCACGATTGGGTCCTTCATAAATATACAGAAGAGAAGGTCATCATTCGACAGGCTGTTCAAGCTGCCCTTACAAATATACACTTTACAGTGGACTTATGGACTTCTCCAAATTCCCTTGCAATCCTCGGCATTGTCGCTCACTATATATCAGCAACTGGTAATCTAGATAACTCTGTTCTTGCACTACGAGAAGTTAATGGCGAGCATTCTGGTGAGAACCAAGCTGTGGAAATTCTTGATGTTATCAACGACTATGGCATTGCTTCAAAAGTTGGTTATTTTGTAATGGACAATGCAACAAATAATGATACAATGATCAAGGAGCTTTCGAAAAAGCTGAAAGAGGAGCATGAGATAATATGGGACCCTAGGCGACATAGATTACGGTGTAACGGCCATGTGATCAACCTCGCTGTTCAAGCCTTTCTCTTTGCAAGTGATGAGGAGGACCTCTCACAGGATAATAATACGGAGCTATTGTCGTCGCCGACAGAAATAGAGATGGAGCAGTGGAGAAAGAAAGGTCCACTTGGTAAACTACATAACATTGTAGTTTATATCCAACGCAGCCCACAACGTATCGCCAGCTTTAAGTTGATGAGCAATAACCTATGTTTGTTGAGAGATAATTCAACACGTTGGAATAGCTGGTATTCAATGCTACAACGGGCGCTACGGGTACAACATGCTATAGAACTGTTCTGCGTAAAATTCAAGGAGAATGAGAATGACCTCCGTAAGTACATATTTATGTCTCTTAAATTTAATTATTTACTAATATTTAAGTAGTTTCACAAGGGGACTGGCAGGACCTTCGAAATATGGCCTGTATTCTCAAGAACTTTGCAGATGCAACACTTGCTACAGAAGGTTATGCCTCGAGCATTGATTTAACACTCCAATCGATGGACTTCTTACTTCACGTGTTTGAAACTGCGAAGAATGATTATGCAATGGACCCGTTCCTTGGTCCTTGTTGTAATGCTGGGTGGAAGAAGTTGGATAAATACTACAGTATGACAGACAGGACTTCGGCATATACAGCGGCGTTAGTATTATGCCCACAATGGAAGTGGACTTACTTCAAATCAGAATGGGAGGCTGATTGGGTTGCTGAAGCACGTGTCAAGGTTGAGGAGCTGTGGGTCAACAAATACAAAGCATTGGCAGTTAGTGCAGAGATCGCAGAAGTTGAAGGTGAAGATACTGAGAAGCCGCTTTCGAATGAGTTTCTTACATGGCGTACACAAAAGCGGGGTATTGACGTTATTCAAGATGAATATACTCAGTATTTACAAGCCCCAATTGTTAAAACTGATGATGCGAGAGCATGGTGGGCTGAGCCTACTCAACGGGCTACATTTCCAAACTTAAGTGTAATGGCATTAGATTTGTTATCAATACCCTCAATGTCTGCAGCGCCTGAAAGGCTGTTCTCTGGTGCGAAAATCACGATTTCCGACCGTAGGAACAGGCTAGGTATTATGGCAATTCAAGCTGTTGAGTGCTTGAAGTCTTGGTTTAAGAAGAATAAGAGTACAGCTTTGCCGTTTGTAGATGATGAGCTGTCAACACTCCCAGATACATTGTTGCAAGAGGCAGCGATGACTATGATATCTAGCTAGTTCAATATGTTCTGAAATTCACAGGGTTATAGAGTATACAGTTTTTACAGCTTCAATTTTTTTTAACATTACATGAAATACTTAAGTATTGCCCGTATTAATACTTAAGTATTGATACAGAGCTCACTAGTATCATATCAAGCTTCACCCGTACCGTATTGATACGGCCCGTATCATAATGGCCCGAATACTTAAGTATTATACTAATGGGAACACTGGTCCTCGGAGTCCTGGACTCTTAGGACTCTTCTCATCATCCTGCGAGTCCATCACGTGCCTAGTGGACTCCTGGGAACTCACTCGAGTCCTCGGAGTCCTGGACTCTTAGGACTCTTCTCATCATCCTGCGAGTCCGTCACGTGATACTTTCGGAACTACTATTCCCCGCTGCCCCTCCAGGTACCAGGGCCGGTCTCATGCGACCTCCCTCCTTCCTGTCCTGTAGTTGGCCAGCCTTCTTGTTCCGTTGTAACAAAGTGTTACTCGACTTTCATTTATGGGTGTTATTGCATCATTTATCGACCGTCATTGGAAAATGCAAGAGGTCTTGATTGGGTTTGAACCTATATATACAGAGCATACTGGTGCTGAGTTATGTGGAATACTTGAAAAAGTTATCACAAGGCAGCATTTAGAAGGACGAATTATATCCATTATGACTGATAATGCGTCAAACAACACTTCAATGATGAGAGATGTGGAAATAATGCTTGATAGTATTGCAGACAACGAGCATTTCATTGGAGGAAAAGTACAATTCCCCGTCTTCACCACGTCGGACTGACTCATGTAGGCCTTCAGGCCGTTCAAGCTCCCCATCATCAAACCATTCTCCGTCCTCATCCCGAAACAACCCATGTCCGCAGTTGTAGAGTCCATGTTCCAAAACTGCAGTCTCCTGTATGAAATCCGAAACTGGATTAAATACCATATACTTCGAATAATCAAACTGCTCCATCTGCTCCTCCAACTTTGTAACAGACGAACTTGAATGGATTTTCAGATTTGGAAAGTAACCGGTGTGATCGTCTATGCATGTGTTGGCATCCACTGTTTGATACAATAGTGGTTGTGCGACCCATTGCGTGCCTTGAGCAGTTGTGATATCCCTAATAGATCGATGGATTGCCATGAAATCAGGCCGAGGTGCCACAATGATATCATTGCTATCCACACACCCGACCTGAGTAACACCTGAGTAGAGGTCCAGCTGATATACGATTATCCTAAGACAATATACTCCGTCTTTATCGATTGTCAACCCAGGGAATCGAAAGGTTCCGTCAATGGGAGACTGAATGAGTTCTCCGCTGAGCTGATCTGTAACATCTATGCCATTGCAGAGCAGCGTCGCGATAGCATAGACGTTTGCCATGTCCTCGGGCTGCAACAGCCGTACCACGATGGGGGTGAACAGTTCTATTTTCCGCCGAGTGAGTTCTGGCGGTTGTACTAATATGGCGAGCATTTGATGGAGGGGCAGGCTCGTACTCCATGGACCCATCATCGTCCATAAGTCGAATGACTTAGCAGCATTTGGCTGCTGAGGCGCAACATCATTCATAGCGGTCCATTGTTCAGTTTGTGTTGACGTTAATGCGTTATTTGCGACAGGATCATTACTAGCGCCGCATTCAATTTGGTGTCCCTCAGGCAGGAACGTACTAAATCCTCGTATGAGGCTCGGATGTCCAGCAAACAAATCTGATATACGGTTGATGACGTTAGGAATGTCGATTCTGGTTAGGCATTATGTTAGTATGAAAGTGTGATAATGATGTCAGCATGATTAGCTAGAAGACTCACACTTGACTCTTGAAATCCTTCAAGATGTGGAGAAAAGTACTATAGATATCCGGCTTGTCGACGAGTTGGGCTTTGACTTGGTCAAGATAGCTACGAGCTTCCTGGGAAATTATTGTTAGTGATGTGTTGGTTTTCTTGTCTATTGCACGACTCGTGCCGAGGAAGGAAAGAAAATGTTTGGCTTCAGTTGCAAGTTAATCCGTTGAAACGGTCAACAAACTTTATCCATCTCTGTCACAGGAACATGGTGGGGGTTGGGTTTGATATCGCAATGAAGGGGAAATCTACACTTACATCTAGTTGTTTCTGAGTTAACGCTAGAGCACCCTGAGCTAAATATGCTGGATGTGCAACTCCACCAGGTGGTTGCGATGGACCCATCTTCGTCCTTATGCCCAACTGCTCTGATAGCATTCTGGTTGACGCGCCGATCTCATGTATCGTCGATGTGGCAACAGGCTCCGATGATTCCGTCGGCGTATTCGGCGGGGCAGCCGGCATTTGATGGGACATCTCTGGAGCCTTGTTCAACCTAGGGGACTTAGGTGGATTGATGTGCGTGATGGAAGTTAATTCGTTTCTTGTGACAGGATGACCAGTGGCGCAGATGGCATTAGCTCCGCTTTCAATTCGGCAGCTTGGAGGCAAGAATGGAATTAATCCTTGTATGAGGTTCGGATGTCCAGCAAATAATTCCGAGACACGGCTGATGAGATCAGGAAGGCCGATTCTGGGTAGCCATTATGTCAGTATGAAAATGTGATAATGATGTCGGCTTGATTGGCTAGAAGACTCACACTTGACTCTCGTAATCCTTCAAGATGTGGAGAAAAGTACGATAGATATCCGGCTGGTCGACAGATTCGAGTATGACTTGTTTAACATAGCTAACAGCCTCCTGGGAAACTATTGTCAGCGATGCGTTGACTTTCCTGTCTTCTGGAAGATTCGTGCTGAGGAAGGTAACGAAAATGATTGTTCGGCTTCTGTTTCAAGATACTCCGTACAAGGTCGACAAACGTTCTCGGGCCACCCTCAAAAGAGCGCACAAGACCTGATTATGCCACGCAGAGCGCTCACACTAACACATCCACCAACCACAGAAATGTGGTGGTCTAGAGTTTGATATCGTATAGAAGGGGAAACTTACACTCGAGGTATCTCGTCGTTCCTGACCTAGCGCTGGAGCACCCTGATCTGGACGTACTAGATGTGGAACTTCGCCAGGTGACTGCGATGAACCCATCTCCATCGTCGATATGGCAACTGGCTCAGATGATTCCTTCGGGGTATTCGGCGGGGGAGTTCGCATTTGATGGGGCATTTCTGGAGCCATGATCAACACAGAGAACTTAGGTGGATTGATGTGCGTGATGAGAGATAATATGGAGTAGGTGATAGACAAGATATATCGGCGGTAAGAAGCTTGAAGATGATTGACGAGCTGGAGATTGAAGAGGTTTGTGATCGGGTTTCTGCAAAATCGCGACCCTTATATATTCCTCAATTCTTCTGCCATCATGTCAATGGAAGACCAAACCCCCTGCAAACCAACAACGGCCGCGGAGTTGAGGGAAGCCGATCATCCTTCGTCCAGGATCACCAGCAGCCCACGGTTGCAGCACCATGCAGTGGCCGATTGAAAAATAAAAAGGTCCAAGAGTGCATCATGCAAACAACGCGGGGGGAAGCACATATCTGCAAGACAGTGTTGGGGGGGATTCTGACGAGATCGATTAACCTTGCAGCAGTGTGGATATTCCGTACGGACGATGCGGGCAATACATGGGAGTATTGATGAAGCTTTAGTGAAGTCTTTCGTAGCTTCTATGGAGGAGCCCAGCCAGTTCGAGTTCCAAGAAAGATGTGGCTTGTGTGCACGATCCCAGTGTTGGATTTATCGATCAACGCGTATCAGTGGGGGGAGCAGCCCATTGAGGTGACGAATTGATAGTATCTGGATCGTTCTCATTGTCGCATTTTCGAAGAGCTTATAAGTGTTGTCATATGGGGACTAGTGCAAGTTGATAGTGGACCAAAGTTTCGTAAGTTTCGTAAGTTTTGTAAGTTTCTGGAGGTTTCGTTCCAAGACAGTGGCGCTGTTGAAGAAATTAGCACCCAACGAGTCTCAGATTTGACACGACCTTTGTCAATTATTTCCAGGTGAACAAATAGTACTGTTAGCATGATGGAAATAAATATGACCTTCTCCGCAGAATCATCCTCCATAATGACAGTCCTGCCGTGTTGTCCACATTCTTCATTTCGAACATGCCTGCAATTCGACCGGTGAGAACCAAACGCTTTGATGTCCCAGATCCACAACCAAACTCTCCCAATGAACGGTTTTTTGACGTGGTTCGCATTATCTCTCTCTTTATTCTCCTTTTTGCTAAAAACCCGCAGCTATGGCGCTGGTCAGCGTTGGACGACGCTGTAGCCTCAATTTGGATTGATGACCTTCAGGTCGTACCTGAGGTACCATCAGCCACGGACATCTCGATCTTGACTCTACATCAAACCCAGACTGAGAATTCGAACTCAAGGACGAACAGTCTCCCGTCTTCAAATACCATGGACACCTCGATCTTGACTCTACACCAAAACCAGAGTGAGAATTCGAAACCAAGGACGAACAGACTCCCGCCTTCAAATACCATGGATACCTCGATCTTGACTCTACACCACCAAAACCAGAGTGACAGTTCGACACCCGATAGACTTCCGTCTCGATCCAAGAAATACTGGCCTCTCAAGTTCTGCTTTCCAATTTGATCCTTGTCGAAGAGTTGGGCTCAATTATGAAGAACGGGATTCGAGTAAAGGGCCGTGAGTGTTGGTTAACAGGTACAAGTAGGCTGCGCACTGGGTACTCACGAGTCGAGTAGTAGAATTTTTACTCACCCAGCTGAGTTACTCGCTCATGTCCCGAGTATTGTTGAATGAGGATTACTCACTTGCTGAGTACCTAGTATGGGTCTTGGCAACTCAGTTATATCACGTGTTTGATTAGCCATTACTTATGTTAAAAACGGGGTGCGACTTCATTGATCAAGACGCCATAACTCCAACTCCATTCCCATATTGTTGATGTCCTATTCCACACTATAACCTTTGGCCTTTAGGTACCAGGTTACCAGATGGTTGCCAGAACTCATCTGACCTTCATTCCTGGGTGAGAGACATTTCCATCGATTAAGCCCACAGCTTAAACATCATATCCTGCAAACGCCGAACCAATATCATACCCTTTGCCTGAATTGTCACTCTCTTCGCATGAATAGCGAGGAGGTTTGTCACTATAACTGTTAGTATGTCCCTGTCACTATGTTTAAACATCATACTCTCAAATTCTCGAATGAGGAAGCATTCAGCAGCTTCCTAAAGAGCTAGGATAGCAGATTGCTGGAAGCGAAGATTGGACTTGAAGTCTTCTGTGATTTCCCTAACAAGACGCTGGAATGGGAGCTAGTATCAAGTTGCTGTCTTCTGATATCGCGGAGAGCCTTGGTGCCTATATGTTTATTAGAGAGTTCTGGTAATCCTCTGGTAATCCTCTGGTAATCCTCTTACTAGACTTTGTGCAGCGCGTGGCCTTCTGAGCATGATTGTTGCTAGCTTGAGATGAGCAAACTGGAGCTTTTCTTGCTGTGCCCACAGCCTTTTCCTGTCCCTTTCCGCCAAGCCCAGAGCCAGCCCGTAATCCAAGTGGCATCCTTGGTGCTATGCCGCCAGTTGATCTCCTAGCAGTTTGCTTGGTACGAGTCATTTGCTAATATCAAGGTGAGTTAGTAAAGTAAACACAAGATAAAGAAGTAGATCAAAAGATATGTGTACTTACAGTGAGTTTGTAGAAAGAATATTGCAGAAGAAGAGTATAGTAAAGAGGTAGAGGTTGAAAGGTATGTGTTTTATATGAAGGTGCGCATTGTGGTGTTGTTTTTGGAACAGTAATTCTTTGTAGGTGAATATTCCTTCACAAATATTTTTGTTTGCAACTTTAAAATAACCACGACCTTAGAACCACCTTCCTTGGTTACTCTCCGATCTACACATTCTTCTTCCCTTTTGAGCCTTTACCTCTTCACTAGGACTTCAACTAAGTTTATTATCTTGATTCTATAGCCAGAACTTCTGGAGATCTCTGCTAATCACGTGTTTAGTTAGTATGGCGAAACTCAAGGCACATGAAGAACTCTCCACTAATGCGAATACTATCAAAGCTCGCAACTGCGTCTCCAACCTTACTGAAGATGAGAAGGCTGTTCACTTAGCACTCAAGGCTGACCATGCTGATCTGAGCTACTACTTAAAGAAGTTATATAAGTCTGCAAAGTGTAAGGATGCCTCCTTACCTAGATACTCGAAGAACCCGCCTCAGAGCTGTTACGGTCACCACAAGCATGAAATCCGACTCGGTGTGGTTTCGGACCAGTAGAGGAGGACATAGCGAGTTACACTATAGTGGGGGACAGTAAGGGTGTAGGGTTCAGGGTCGATGCGGACCTGTTGCGGTGGAAGGTTCAGGGCTAGGGTTGGGATAACTGAGTCGGGCCCGTTTCGGGTACTTAAGGAAACAAACTTAACGGGGTTCCCCCTTCATCTTTTTTGTATCCTTCGTAGTAGACCTATAGGATAGCATCCTTTTAGCCTCCAACTCGCACTCTCATATGCTATTACTGTGAGCTGGGTGCCCTGTGTCATTACACAAAGTATATCGCTGCCTCTACTGAAGACAAGACACGTCTACAGAATGAATTGAAGGTTGAGCGTATTTGTGTTCGGTAAGTTCCTTCTGGTAATCTCTGGTAGCCTCAATCTAACTATAAACAGGACTGAGAAGGGTACCCATGCATCTTGCATTGTGAATCAGAAAGTCAAGAATATTAGCGCCTCTTCTTCTCCACAAGCCCCACCATCTACTCCGCCCAAACAACTTCTGTCTGAGCTTGCTGCATTTGAGGGTATCTCAAGTATTCCAATCGATGACAATCATAACAGCGAATGGGAGGATACTGAGGTTGAAGACGATTTGGAGTTGGAGCTTATGTTACAGCGCGAGATATTTTAAATGACGAGGCTGTTCTACCAGATGAGCTTTCCGATGAAGAGATCACTAGCACCCAGGCTCTCTTAACTCAAGCGCACATTGATGTATGCTACCTCATAATCTGGTAATCTTCTGGTGATACTAATAGTTGATAGGCCCATGAAGAGTCCAATTTCCGCAAGTGGCAACATTTCTGGGATAGCTGTATCCACTCATATACGAGAAAGGCTGGAAAGCTGAGAAAGAAGCCTGAGCGTCTCTTTGAGTATATGCCGTGGATTGATGTAGAGGAAGGGTACGTCTCTGATCATCCTAGCAATCTTCTGGCAATACTAATTGTTTATTATAGCACTTTTCACGAGGTTATCCCACCACATAAATATTTCTGTTTGTACGAGCAGGCAGTTTGGAAAGTGGGCCTAATTACCAGGACCTGTGCAGTGGTACCCAAAGTCTTACAATCTTGTCGACAATGGATGGTTGCAAATATCCACTCATAGTTCTAGCTTCAAAGAGGCGTTCTTACTTGTCTACTCTAAGAAGTTTGATAAGGAAAAGTGGGCTAAGGTATCAGCTGCACAGGATATGTTGTTCCTGGAGCTAGAGTAGAGGAGAACTTGAGTTGCTAAAGTTATAGCGCTGGAGTACCTTTCGCGTTGGAAAACCAGGTATTTAAGTACTTCATCGTAGCCAGACTTCTGGTAACCTTCTGATAATCGAGCAATTTGCCAAATGCCATCTCAGTACTCAGAGTTGTTTGATTCTGACAGTATTCTCAGACTCTTTTCCGTCTTCTCAACGACTATCCTCATTAAATCAAGTCTGTAAGGACACAGGGCACCCAGCTCACAGTAATAGCATATGAGAGTGCGAGTCAGAGGCTAAACGGATGCTATCCTATAGGTCTACTACGAAGGATACAAAAAAGATGAAGAGAGGAACCCCCGTTGGGTCAATCTCCTTAAGTACCCGAAATGGGTCCGACTCAGCTAACCTGCCTTAACTCTTATCATGTGACCGTAACCTGCCCGACTCAGATCCTTTCCATCACTGAGGGACAGGCATCCTTACAAAGTCCCTGCAGGCCTTGAATATATTGGCAAGTTAAACCAATTCGTCAAATGGACTAAGGATACACACGATATATTCATTGAGTGGTGGAAGCTATCACGATGGTATGAACAACACTCAGATCATACTACAAAACTCCTTATGAAGATTGCATGGGATTCAACCAACTGGAGTTCTCAATACTGGAGAAGTTATCACCAAGGAGCAGACCGGCTTTCTGGAGAACCATGTGTTATTTGTACTTATTGTTCGAAGGCCCTTACGCATCCTGCAATCAAGTCTGCTGGCCCAAAGTCTATGGCAACACATCTTGCATCAGACATTTGCAAAAAGAAGTCACAGATGGGAAGGATAGTCTCTATCAAATGCGAATCAATCAAATGCAACCTCAACAAGTAAGGATTACCAGATTATTACCAGAATTATGTAGGTTAATACCTATAATAAGATCATATTCTCACACAAGAGACATTTTATGAACAAGTTCTATACACAGTTATCTTGACTCATAGCTCGTTCCGCTCAGTCGAGGATCCTCATCAAGACCCTATAAATACTTTAGGTATTAGTAGGTCTGGCCGGCCTCATCAAGCAAGGTGGAGGGATGTTCTTAAGCATATATAATAGATAATAGCGTTCTAATAATCTTCTGATAATCATGGTACTTAGATAGAGGAATATACATGATTCGTTCTCACAGCTTACTAGAGATGGCGAGAGTGATGCTAATAGATGTAATACTTTAACTTAACCATAAAACAGTATTAATCGTATGAGGGACTGTTCACATGATGCATAAATCTTACACGTGATAGCCGAGTACTCACCGGGTTTTTACAGAGTAACTGAGTATTGACCTCACTCACCGAGTCGAGTAAAAGGTTCAGCTACTCACCCAGCTGAGTAACCCACTGAGCGAGTGAGCCGAGTATTGAGCGAGTAGTGCGCAGCCTAGACCGTGCCTTCTCCGACGCCAGCCTACATCGGGTCTTGTAGTGGTGGTTCAGCATACGACCATCGCCTCAACAATGGCTATCCTTGTGGACCCTTCGCTTCAGTATCAGATTTTCACGACTTTCTTGTGGTCCCTGTGGCCAGATGTCCTCGGCAAGAGCTTGTTACATACTATCGCCAACAACTTGCAGATAATCATGGGGTTGTTTTTACTCACGCGGATCTGTGCGGGGATCATATATTTGTCGAGCCAACAACTGGAATAATCACCGGGATCATTGACTGGGAGATGGCTGGTTGGTGGCCTGCATATTGGGAGTATACTAAATCACGGTTTGGTAGTAGATACCAAACATGGTGGAAGACACTGATAGCTCATGTTCTGGACCCACACGAGCGTGAGCTTCGATCGAAGAAGATCTGCAGCAGTTCTGAGTGTGAACCCTGCCCTGAACGCGTATGATACTATGAGATCAAATCTGCAAAATGGGTTTAATTTGTCTGCGATAAAATAGCCCGTCCCCTGAAACGCAAACACAAATACTAACAACACCGCTACTATGGGCTGGCGCTGATCCTCCCGCGCTAAACAGATCCTCCTCAAATATCGATTGCCTTTACTACTTCTGAACAATGCCGGTCGCATATAATGCCGGAATCGCACTGTTGACAGTCCACTCTGTGCACTTTATCATCGGCGGCCGAGCTTCCCCCGGCTTGTAGAATGAGCCGTCAGGTTTCATTTGCTCCGTCTTCATGGTAGCAATGTTGAAGTGCTTTTGTTTTGGGGGTGGGGGCTGGGCCTCGAGAACTCGATTCATTTCATGAGGATAGTCGGTTGCTTTTATTGTGCCAAGGTATTCCTTCGCGAAGAATGTTTCCGACACTTCGGGTCGCTTGCCTGGCTTTGTATCGTAACGCATTCCAGAGGTGATGTCGCCCGTAACGTGATGAATCATTCCACTACCGTCGGCCTGCGTTTGCACAAAGATAACATTGTGGTACCTCGGACTTGGCATATCGGGATCTGGTATGGAGATGGTGTACTTGATTTTATAAACGTTGTAAGACATGATGATCCTTAGTTGGCAAATTGGAGTATCGAACTCAGAGGTAGTTTTGTCGGCTGATTTGAGGATTTTAGCTGCGTCGGCAGGAATGAGCCTAGCAGTTTTGCACGAAAGATAGCGAGACAGAAGAGGTTTCGGATTTGTTGGGTGATCTGGGAATGGTATTTTGAAGATACAAGAGAAAGAGAAATGATTGAGCCTTTATGCACCTTAGTTGGGTTTGGAGACTTGGATTCCTGTTGACGCCGGTTGGTGTGGCCATAGGGAATGGCCATATTCAAGCGCTTACGTCGCAGGGGCTTGTTAGACAGGTGTTAGTTCCAGCGCATATAGATTCTCGAAATAGTATTTGCAGCCGTTTCAGCAAACGCTTGTTCAAGGAAGGCCCTGTCGCACTCCGGAAGTGCCGTTCCATTGGATAGACTAAGCGCCAGGAGATCACACAATAAAACGGCAACTACTGCTAGCCATCTTCATATTGTATACACCAAGTGTTGGTTGGATTTTCGGTGGCGTGGGAATCCCAGCTAATTTGGTTCCACTTGGCAATTCTGACTGACTGGTTTGGGCACTCAAGGTGATTCACAGCACAGTAGGAATAAACAAAACCCAGCCCCAAACTTGTTCAAAAACCAATGACCAGCTTCGGTCCGATGTTCCTCCGGCTTGTGGGGGTCCAACAAAGAGCGTGATCGACTGTTATGACAACATCTGCTAGCTTATTGGCGAGGTTGGCGCTGGATCACTGACTTAGCCGATTGGTGTTTGAGCGCAAACCAAGCTGTTGAATTTTATTGGGCCGTAGGCCCGGACGCTACGACCGAAACTACTCCGTAGTTTCATGATACTGCTGCCTAATATTTAAGCCAGATACACGTTACGCAGCCTCGATCCTGCACTAACATAAGGAAGCAAAGGAGGCAAAAGAGACAACAGAGACTTGCACATTTTAATAAACTAGGCTAGTGCTGGACTAAATTCTCATCTCGAAATACATTCTTTGGCTGGCGGTAGAGAAGGCTATTATCACGACGAAAATCATATCGGGTGTCTGCTGTTACCAACGATCACATTTCACCGGTTTTCACAATGGCGCAGCCTTTTCAACTTCCATACTTCAGGGATTCCAAGGAATTACCTGCGCCTCTTCCCTCTGTTGATGAAATTCATTCGTCACCAAATATCCTTAAGGGACTTGAAGCTTGGGCAGACAGGAAAGTTGTGAGGGTAGGTGAACATTTTATCGCAAAATACAGTCCTTACAACGATCAAATAGAAGGAGAGAACCTTCTATTCATTGAGCAAAACCTTCAAATATCGGCTCCTCGATTATATGCAATGTGGAAAGAGCCTGATGGAAGGCTTTATATTGTCATGGAATATCTTCAGGGAGATACACTCCAGTTTCTGTGGCCAAATCTTCAAGAATCTGACAAAGTCCTCATTCTCTCAAAGCTACGAGCCATTTTTAACCAAGTACGCACCCTTCAGTCCCCTGGCTTTTTTGGGGGCATCAACAAGAGCCACATGCCACATCATCTATTCTACTCTCCAGCGTACGATCCGAAGATATCCGGCCCCTTTGGAAGTGAGAGTGACCTCGTTCTGGGGCTAATATCGAAATCTCGGCTTAACGCAGAAGACCGCAAAAGGCATTCTTATCTGGCTGATTTCTTCGAAAACCAGCTGTTGTTGGATCTTGTTGAAGAGGATCGCACATCGACATTTACCCACTCTGATTTACAGATGAAGAATATTCTAGTCAGGGAGATCTCGTCACAGGAGCTTTCGCAGGGGAAAGACTATGATGTGTCAATTGTGGACTGGGAATCAGCGGGGTGGTATCCTAGCTACTGGGAATACGTCGCAGCCTTTTTTGCGTTTACGTGGGATAGTGACTGGTCCAACAGGGTGGCTGATATTGTGGACGCCTGGCCCGCAGAAGCGGCAATGATGAAGATGATATACCAGGATCTGTGGCTCTAGAAGCCGTCTCATCATCGAAGTCTCATACTTTCAGAAGATCAAAACGATATTTCACTTAGCCGACAACATAGCACAAGGGAATTCACGGAAGATAAAACCCATTCAATTAACAATCCTTCCTGAGCCTCTTTGATTGCTTCGTTCGGATGAACCATTCATGAGATATTACGTAACGGATCGGGCGTGGTCACGTGCTTCTGTCAGCCCACGCGCCAAGTCGCACAGTTTGTATGGATTTCCAAGGTCCCTGGTGCAATATATGTCATTAAGTAAAACTAATATCTATCGCCAAAGCGAACTCATCTCTTATGTATGCAAATGCTTGCTAGCCCTAAGATACAATGCAATGACTTCCTCCATCACCTTGCCTCAAACTCTAATATTCGCTCACAGTGTATGGTGTCTTCCTTCTCCCATGAATTCTCAATCTCTGGACGACCCTTCCACTTAACAAAATATTCAGTCTTCCCTCTCCGTTCTCGCTTCTTGAGTAATTCCACACCAAAGTTTCCTTGATAGCTCGCCTCAAAATCGCCAACGAGATCCGAACTGATGTCGTCCTGTTCCTGCCACGTATTTTTATCATCACCAAAGCCTTCCCACTTCACGAGGTACCAAACCACATTACGTGTTGTCGACTTGGCAAGCAGCGCTTCAACCTCACAGATCTCATCTGTATCGCTTTCGGCTCCTTGGCTGCTACAACGCGGCTGCACTGCTGTATGCTCTTTGTTCCCAGTTGATAGTATGCTTCTGTGAGCACCCTTGGTGGAGTCGGCAGTTGCTGCTACAAATGGTGTGGAAGGAAGAGCATCTCGAAGCTGTGGATCAAGCAACTCCATTGAAAAAACAGATGGATATGTTCCCCCGCTTTCGTTAGCTGAGTTCGTTATCTTGCGTTTCTTGTACTTAGACGTCTGCGAGCGGTTCTTCAGCTTTGTGCAGTAGTGCACTTGCAACGTCCCTTTAGTCCTTTCCGGGAAGTACTCTGCTATTTCGTCCCATGGCAATTTGTCTTTCTCTTTCAGCTGTATCAACAGTTGGTCGTCATTTTCTGAATATGTCGAATGCCTGCCAAGTCTCCTCACAACTCGTTCTCGCAAATGCGGCCGCTCCCTGTCTCTATCGCCACTAGAGGCGCTGCTGATGACATCTTGTGCCTGCTCTATGTCGAGAGGGAATGGTAACTCCTTCTGGGAAAATTTAAGGCAATACACTATTCCCGACTGGAATGTTTGTAGTGTAAGGGAACCACCGATTGGTATCTCGTGACTCTCTAGCGGGGAATCAGACGACGTCGCTCCTGTCTTTGGAGTTGAGACCTCAGAGGAATTGGCCATAGCAAAAGAAGCCTCTTTCACATTGCTGGGGCTCATGTGTGCAGAGCTCTCCGTGCTTTTTGCCCGCCTCGGCCGTTTTAGTCTCCGCTCCTGTATCTCAGAGCCAGCGGTGTCGCTATCATTAACGTGATCTCCACCATTAATAGATTGGCTCTTTAGAGGGAGATCGAAAGAGACCGCTGTTCCTCCCTGGCTTAAGACATCCCAGATATCGGTCGGAAAAGTAACGTCTTTCACATTACGGAAGTTTGTTTGTGCAGAGCTATCCGTGCTCTTTGCCCTCCGCCGTTTTAAATGCTGGCGGGGTTCTATATCAGAACCGGAGCTATCATTGGCGTGGTCTTCGCCATCAGTACCATCTATGCTTCCATCCCGATCATCGCTGCGCGTCATCCCAAGGCTTAGTTCAATCTTGTCCATATGGTCGTTCTCTGCAGAAATGTGATCATTGTTATCCCTTCTTGATTTTGGCTGATATTTATCGATCTTGCCTTCGTTCGTTGGGATTCCTTCGGTCACAGAGATAGCACTGGTTTCTTGAACACTAGCCAAACCGATGGGACTCTCTATATTTTGAGAGGCGAGCAATAGGTCGCCATTCATCTCCGTTGCAATTGTAGTATCGTTTTGAGATAAGATAGATGAAGCTTCCACCTGACGGAGTCCTTCGTCACCGGTGGGTTCAGCTACGCCAATGTTGTATGTACTGCGAGGTATATATGCTGTGTCGAAAGTTGGGTGACTGTGTGATAGTATCGCATCACGCATCGTCAGGTCGAGTGGAGTTCCATTCTCAACATTGTCAAACTCTCCATTACTGCCCACGTCACTATCTAGAAGGATAGGCTTATCTGTAAGACATCAGCAACGTAGATTATAATCATTGGGGAACTTATTACTGACCCTGGCTTGTGCCCCATTTTACTTGATTCGAATCTGTCGCGGGCCCGTAGACGCTGTCAAGGTTTTCGACCACGTTGGCGACGTCTCGATTCGCAGCTAGTAATAGGGGTTTGCCAATAGAGAGGATTTCTGTCTCTGCGTTGCTGACGACGGCTGCATCTCTACTGTCTTGGTCCTGTGTGATTTCTATATTTGGTCAGCTGCTTGAGTCACAAAGAAACATAAAACACATACCTTTTATGCCGTGTAATGACTGACCTTGATCAGGAGGCAGTTCTGCCTTGTATGAACTGGATGTGTTCTGAGGCGCGCCATGCGTAGTTGTCCCTTTGACCTCTTCAAAACGGGCACTAGCTATAGGCGGTTGAAAGTAAGTCGAACCAGCACCAGCTTGTGAATGCGAAGGTGGCCAAAATGTCGAAGGCGGAATAGCCACAGGACGTGGTGGTTGATAAAATTGTTGGCTGTCCCACTGAATGGAAGTCATCTTGAACTTTGATATTGGAGGAGATCTATGAACTCGCAATCTGCTGAGGGACGCCCGTCCTATATATACTCGCGAGCTACGGCTAGCGCCTGGAATCCAGCCTACAGAACACCCGTGGCAGTCACCCAACCGCTTCGCTCACTTTTGGCATTACGTATGAGGTTGCTGGATGGTGTAATCATCCCATGTGTGCCAATCTTCCGGATCGATAGCTGTGAAGGCCGCGTCCTGAATCAAAAGAGTGGGAACTCTGGCGAAAATGACTCCAGGTTCGGTGATCTGTCCGTAGAGGCTGAGCTTTGCTGCCCCAAAGTGGCACTGTTCTGGCTGCAAAAAGCAGATCGGCGACTCCGAGACTAGGCCTGTATCAGAGCGTTCCGCTATGTCCCTTTGACTGTGCGCAGGCAGGCGAAGGAGTGACTGACGAAAATAGACTGTTCCCTGCATTCTGAGCCTTCATCGACGAGTATGCTGAAGCCCCGAGTGGCTCAAAAGCGGAGAAACGAATTCGACAGCGACGTTTTTCGATCTTAGCGCGTAACATGGCTTAGCTCCTCCTCCCGATTCCTCCATCCGACCCCAATCAGCCCATATCAACCCCCGCTTCATGGATGCAACGCAATCAAGGTGTCATAGCAACCTTGCCTAACCCGTCATCATTGTTGCCGCTGTCATGCGCTGTTTTTGCCATTGGCCAAGCCACATTCCCACATGCATGGGCAAGAATCATTTCTTGTCATGTGTTCCATCCACCCTGATCCAACCGCGATGATGCCGACACTTCAGTGAGGTCCACCAGAATCCATAATGTCGCAGCCCGATATTGGTTGTCAGAGACAGGACATTGTTGGTAGTCGAAAAATTCCTGTCAGGGGGATCCTGGATATCGCAACGCTCAGCAGTATAGCGTCCGACCAAATTTGAGCGACGACGTCCGATGTAGGTGTTGTAATTCGAGTGGGGACAGACGGCGGAAATTGCTCTGGACAGACCGCCAGCGCGTTGCCGTCGCCCTATCGCCGAGAACCAGCCAAGTTCAGCCTAGCTGACTGCCTTGCATCCTCGTAAATGGCCGAGACAACAGAATGATAGGCGCATGACGGCCTCGAGGAGGTCGAAGACGGGTAGAGCCGGAGCATTCTACGGATGTAGTTACATGCTGCGAAATTGGTAGGCAGAGAAGGGGGCAGTGCAGCCGGGAAGGCGCGGACGGTGTGGGCCAGAGCTGAAAGTGTGTGATGGAAAGGAAGGAGGGAGAGTGCGGATAGAGGAGCGGGGGGCAGCGACTACTTATACTTCTGAGGTTGAGGAAAAGCGGCGTGGTGTAGATCGGCAGGCAGTAATGCCTAAACCGAGCACGCCAAACCAGAACGGGACACCGCCAAACCCGAAGTAGCAGCGCTAAATCCAAGCGAGCCAGGACGCTGAAATGCGCACCCCGCTTGCCGTCGCATAGTTTACTACTACTACTCTATAAATGCTTACTACTATATATCTACTAACGTACATGTATAGCGAAAGCGCCAAACAAGCGAAAGCGCCAAAATGATGCGGTGACCAAACCCCCCAACTAAATGTTAAATTCCTCAACAACAAAACATGCCCCATAAAAACGATGAAAGCCAATTAGTGCTAGCTATCCAGGCTATGCAAAGCGACCCAAAGTTACGCCTTCGAGTTGCTGCTAGGATCTATTCTGTGGACCACCGCAAGCTAGGTCGTCGTCTAGAAGGTGTACCTTCACGACGCGATATCCAAGCCAACTCACAGAAATTAACTAACCTAGAGGAGTCCGTCCTTGTTCAGTATATACTCGACCTAGCTGCCAAAGGGTTTCCTCCTCGGCTGTCTGTTGTTGAAGATATGGCAAGTCGACTACTTGCAACATGCGACGCGTCACGCGTTGGGTCGCGTTGGGCTTCAAACTTTGTTAAGCGGCGTGTAGAGCTCCAGACACGCTTTCAGCGCAAATACGACTACCAGAGGGCTAAGTGCGAAGATCCAGAAGTTATTAATGGCTGGTTTGAGCTTGTGCGTAACACAATTGCGAAATATGGTATCGATGAAGCAGATATCTACAACTTTGATGAGACTGGGTTTATGATGGGCGTTATCTCAACTGCTATGGTTGTAACAAGCTCAGACGGGCGGGCAAAAGCAAAGAAGGTACAGCCTGGTAATCGGGAATGGGTTACAGTAATCCAAGGCGTTAGTTCTCAAGGTTGGGCAGTACCACCATTTATCATTGTTGCAGGCAAAAACCACCTTACATCTTGGTATGAGAATAGTGGATTTTCAAGCGATTGGGTGATTTCTGTTACTGAAAATGGCTGGACTACAAACGAGAGAGGCATGGATTGGATTCAGCACTTTGAGAAGCATACAAAGGCCCAGAGTGTTGGTGGTTATCGCTTGTTAGTCCTTGATGGTCATGAGAGCGACCACTCAGATGAGTTTGAGGAGTACTGCAAGGAACACAACATTATTACGCTTTGTATGCCTGCTCACTCTTCTCATCTACTCCAGCCACTTGATGTTGGCTGTTTCGGCCCGTTAAAGCAGGCCTATGGTCGGCAAATTGAAGATATGATGCAGGCTCATATTTCTCATATTACAAAGGATGACTTCTTTCCTGCCTTCCACGCTGCTTTTAACACTACAATGACGGAAAGTAACATTCGAGGCGGGTTCCGAGGGGCAGGGCTTCTTCCATTTGACCCTGAGAGAGTGATATCTACACTTGATCTTAAGTTAAGGACACCAACGCCTCCAAGCTCCCGCCCAGGTACTGCTCAACCTTGGGTTTCTCAGACACCAAACAACCCAATTGAAGCTATGTCACAGTCTACATTTATTAAAACTCGGATTTCACGCCATCAAAATAGCTCTCCAACCTCAATCTATGCAGCTGTTGACCAGTTTACAAAGGGTGCATCGCAAATAATGCATCAATTAGCACTGCTAAAGGGAGATAACCAAAACCTACGACAGGCAAATGAAGTACTAAGCAAGCGCCGGAGAGCTAGGAAAACACGACTACAGCAAGGAGGATCACTTAGTCAACAAGGGGCGCAAGAGCTACAGGATGAGAGGGATGTTGTGCAGCAGGTAGAGCAGGAAATAAGGGCAAGCCGTGGTCGGAAGCCAAGGGAAGAAACCCGTGCCCGTCGCTGTGGCAAGTGTGGTGAGACTGGGCACAATGCGCGCACGTGTCAGATTGTAATAGACACCTCTGAGGAAGAGGACTCCGAGTAGTTTCAATTGATTTCTAATGTTGTGGTAGATTTATCGCAATGTTTGTCGTGAGGGTAGATAATTTTGGCGCTTTCGCTTGTTTGGCGCTTTCGCAATACATGTACGTTATATAAAGGATAGATAATATTATTTTGAAGTAAGTAAGATGGTAAGAGTTAAGGTTGAAAGAAAGAAAGCAGAGGGAGGGAAGGTAGCAGATAAGTTAAGAATTTGATATAAGATATTTGAATTTTAGGATTTTAGAAGAGAGGGAGGAAAGTTAGAAGGAGGTTAGTGTTATAAGGGTGTGTTATATAGGTGTAAATGTAAGTGGGTAATTGTAAGGGTGTAAGTGTAAGTGTAAGGGTGTAAATAGAAGTAGAAGTATATAAGTAGTTGTAAGTATAAGGGTGTAAGTGTAAGTGTAAGGGTATAAGTGTAAGTAAGGATGTAATTAAGGGTGTAAGTGTTATAAGGGTGTAAGTGTAAGATAGTGAATGAGGATAGTGAAGGGGGGTGGTGGGAGTTAGTGGAGGAGAGATGGTATGTGTAATGGTGGGTGCACCAGATATGAGAATCTAGCCACCCAAGGAAGGGATGAATTTACTAAGACAACACACTGTCTTAGGAAACAGAGCCAAAGGGTTGTAGCTTAGACTATTCCACAACGCAGCAATCAGGTGTATGATGTGGTGAAGTGGTTTAGACAAGTTGCAACAAATGTTGAGTCTGAGAACTCAGGGGTAAGTCAGAGGTTAGCACCTCACTGACTTTTCAAAAAACAGAGAATAACAAGATCAATGCTTGGAAGCTTGGAAAAGACGTAGAAGTATGTGCTAGTCGATTTACTGTATTGCCTGCTTGCCCTTTCTTAAGGAAAGGGCAATCCTATTTATGCCAAAGGAGTGTAGTTCTCTCATTTTCCATGACTTTCCATGACTAACCAGGCTTGGTAAATGTATTAGAAATCAAGTGCGACCCACAACTAGCTTGCTAATCATGTAGTGAACGTAAGAGAATCCCATAGAACCATCTCTTGGGTTCCTAGCCTATAGGAAGTGAAAAGGAGGTCCAAGGTCAGAGTACCTATAGACAAATTATGTCATAACTTAACCAATCTTGTGGGTAACTAAGGAGCGATGACGTGTAATGAATCATAGAGGGTTGTAGAAGCTTCTAGAGCTATCGTTCATGTTCCTAGGCCTCTAGTTGGTAGAGATATGCCATGTGGTAGTATTGACCCACCCCCTTAAGGAGGAGATTTTCTTAATAACTTGTTCAATGAGTGTCCAAATGATATGCCGTGATGTATGTAGCATAAACAGATGTAGTAGAAGAGTTTGCAGCAATCGTTGAGTAGTATTGCTTCTGTTGTTGGTGTGATAAGCCAAGATATGTATGGTGACTTGTAGGTTTGAGGAGGAGATTTCTAAGTTTGCTCTTGAGTTTGATAGCAAACTGAGTGCAACGAATGTCAGTATGACAGCCGGGTAGATGGCGTTTTTTCACCTTTGTACCGGGTAGATGGAGTTTTTGCCCTTCTTTTTTACTAGCTACAGGGTAATTTATTCTTTTACGCTGTTATACAGGGTAATTTATTCTTTTACCCTATAAATTATCAAAGCCTATAGCGATAACAGGGATCACGATTTCAATCAAACTTGAACAATTAATATCTCATGTACCTGATGGCGGATAAGAAAACCGAGTGGCTTACAGAATTCGGGAGCATCAGATCTACCTGGGTACATATTTTTCATTGAAGAAAGTCTGTTGTGTTGTGATTTATGGTTTTGGGGTTCATTGTGATTGGCCAAAATCACAGCGGTCAACTTACACAAGAAAAATGTGTGTAAGTTGACCGCTGCCCCCCTTGCCAGCCAAGTTCCAGACAAAAGCTAGGAAACTTAGTGATCGGTCTCTCCATTCCAAGGATGAGATGGATACAATTCGGGTTGCACTTGCCCATCATACCTTTGTTCCCAGCCGCAATCCAAAGATTACTGTTGCCAAGTCTGGTGTGCCTTACATGCGGACCATCCACTTGGGAGACGGAGATGAATGGTCCATGCTGAAGGTTCTTGTTTTGGACTATGAGGATTCTCCCCCGGACATTAAATATATAAAGTTATAATCAGTTTGCTATTGTTCTTTAGGTATTTCCCTATAAGGTCTCGACTCGAAAAGTACGCCTCTCATTGGCTTGTTAACCTTTCCAAAGGAGGATTAGCGGCCGACTGGTAGATGGAGTTTTCTTACCAGTTTTTTACTGAGTATATCAAGTTTTTGCCCAAATTTATAATCTTAGGATGGAAGAAACACGCTTTTTAAGATTGTAGCGTATATAGTTGTTAAGATATTTAAATGTTAAGTTTATATAAGGCATGCCACAAAGTCAAATGTACAACAATGTGCTACGGCTAGTAGAGGGGATGGCTACGTAAGTTGTCCTATCATTACAGAATTCGAGCCTCTCGATTATGAAATTCGATGTCGTGACAGAAATCTCTCTTGTTACATGTGAAAATCGCCCTGAATTCAAAGGGAATGTCATATGATATTCTGTCGTAATGTCTAACAGAGCATGTGTAAATCGATCCTATCGTTTCGTACGCGCGAGTATGGCAATTCGAGGCTCTTAAACCTAAAATTCGAATGGATGGCTACGTGATGTTTTTAAAAATTTCAAAGGGATGGTCACGTGAATTATTATATGAGAATTCGAGCCTCTCGGTTTTGAATTATCGCAAGTTAGAATTCGAGCCTCTCGATCATAAGATTCGAGGGGATGGGCTGTGAAACCGTAGCCACAGGGAACAGTAACAGCAACGGGCACCACGGGGGAAAACAACAGCATTGATGCTGCTAGGGAAAATCAATGGCGATCTATAGCGGTAACTTGGGGATAATCAACAGCGTCGGTGCGCTAGGGATCACGATAGTAATTCCTAAATAGTCCTTATCCAAACGCCTCCTCATCCCCCCCTCGCCGCCCAAGGCAGCAACTGATCCTCTAACCACATCATCTCCTCCCTATACCTACTCTGTCGAGGTTTCAAAACGCCATGGAACGCTCGCAGGGCAAGCCATCTAATCTCCGTCTTGGATATCGCGCATCGATAACCCAAATTCTTCGGATTCTTCTCCTTGCTCTTAATTAGTAGAAACGCCAGATCCACCAGACCGACAATCGTTCGAATGGTAATATCCGCGGTGGGCTGCTTCTGTGTCGGAAGGCATCTCGTGTATGCGCACATTTTGTTCGCACACTCCACAAAACTCTCAAATATGTTTCTTGAGACGACTATCGGCGAATTGAAGGTCGTATCCATGAACATAGCATGGCATTGTATCTTAAACGAATTGAGCACTTTGCGATGAAAAGTCTTCCCTGGAGTCTTTGAAAACTCCACCGTCAGAGAGTCGACGACTTCCAGATCCTTGTGTTTCTCTCGGTGTTTGGATATATGCAAGGTCTTCGTGTTTATAAACGTGCCGCAGTACGGAAATTCTTGGCCCTTTACCAGTCGCTTGACCTTATGACCATTGATGGATGTCTCAAAGTTGACGAGAGTCTTTTCGGGATTGACGGAAACCCCGTAATCTGGAAGCCCGTCGTGCATCGTCTGAATAAACCGTCTGGCGTGGTCGGGATCGATTGTAATCAGCAAGAAGTCATCTATAAGCCTGAGCAGTAAACTTTCATCGGGATTGAGGAATGATAGATGCTTCGCTTCCAGGTCGGCGTAAAAATAGTTGCACAGCAATGAAGATATAACCGATCCCTGGGGAATCCCCTTCTTTTGGCGGTAGAACTTCTTCCCAATCTTGACCAGGTTTCTCTGGACGTGTTCCGAAAGCAGCGATAAAAGTTGGTCTTTGGTGTGCCTCTGGACCGCGAGGTTTTCGGTGAAGATTGTATTCTTGCCGCTGGTCATCTTCAAGTCAAACGGTTGGTCACCCGCCGCCCACGCCAGAGAAGTCCATTTACGAATCGGTTTCGCCTGCCCATGCCGATACCCATCTCCTGGCTTTACCTCGACGTGCTTGGAGATCTGATATTCGTCGCTCGTTGGCAAGCCGGATATGAGCTTGACGACAGCTGCCTGAGGGATCGTGTCGAATGCGGATTGCACATCGACTTTGCAAAAGTATAGATTGCCCATAGGGTTGATTGTTTCCGCAAACTTCTTGATTTTGTTATACAGGTCACCGACAGAGAAGAGAGTGGAGCCAAACTTCGCAGGTGATAAATCCTGCCAGTATTAGCATCAGCCATGAAACAATCGCCAGTACATACCTTTTCAAAAGTCAACATGTTATATACCGGAGCCAATGTCGAATTGATACTAGGTCCAAGGGCTCTCTTCGAGTCTCGCCGAAGCTGCCGTCGTCGAAGATTCAGTATAGGCCTGACGCCCTTTTCCTTTGGTAGGAGCCTGATCTGGCTGAAGCCAATAGTGCGCGAGTCCAGGACTGAATTGGCCATGTTTATATCTACTTCTTCAAACATCGCGAGTTTTAGTGATGCCATCACCGGCTCGGCCAGATTGCGCCAAACGTCCTGTCGAAAGAAGAATATGCGATAGCGGTGTACGCCAGATTCCGTGACATGGAAATTGCATCGAATCAGAGGTATGATCAAGGAGTCAAATATGTAATACATGAACTCGTAAAATATCTCCCATTTCTTGCGGGTGTCTGATTGTGAGCCCTTGGCGTTCTCAGAGTTGCCGCAGTTGAGCCATGGAATGGTGGAAATCTTGACCGTCAGTATAAGTTGCAACTCATGGGATGGGCTATGGTACCTTCATTCCCTGCGTCGCATCGTGGAGAGAGTGTGTTTCGAACCTCCTCAGGTTAATAAATCGGTCCACGTTCTTCATTAGCACCTGTTTATTGTGTGTCTGGTCCTCACCAGTTCCAAAAAACTCGTCCGGAATCACTCGCCCCAGCATAGCACGGCAAAATGCAGACACATTTGCACTGGGGGTAGCAAGGTCTATGATGCTATCCTTTTTTAGCTTCTTTAGGGGGCGGGTCGGCGTGGAGCCAGTCCCGTTATGGCTTCCTGGCGTTGATTTCTGGGTTTGAAAGTTATGTGAGGCATCATCGATCGAGGGTTGCGGAAATGTTGCAAGTGCCTATAGCAATATAAGTCCTGTCTACCACCAGAATAAAAAGTCCCCTACATTCGATGGACAGTAATGTGCAACCAATTGACCGTAGGGGCACCTTTCATGTAATATCTGCAGCTTTCGCACGAGACTCGGCAATGGCCCTCTCAGTCGTCTGGGGATGCTGGTGGTAGATGCGCCCTTGTGGTTTGGAGGCAACCTGCGGATCTCGTCCTCACGCAGAGTATAATCCTTGAAGGGGTGGACAGTCTCGCGGAAATCGGCGACGGAATCAAAAACATTGTGAAGGCGAAATTGCCTGGGGAATATGTACTTTATGACTTGCAGGGTGTTTGGATGAATGGCACCGTCTTCCAAAGACGCCGGCTTTGAACGATAACGGTTCAGGACATCTTAAACAGTCAGCGTATCCATCAAGTTTGGAGCAGCCATCCTTACGAATATGGCGCAGGCCGAATGTCACAGCGCCTCTAGAATTCAGCGTTGGCCGTGCATAAAGGATTTTGCTTCGTAGAAAGGCTATGCTTGAAGGGCTCCTATCTATCAATGGAGTCGATATCCTGGCTGACAGTTCGCGTCGTCCACCTTGATCCAGGATTTGGAGGTCTCCAAGCGGCATGCCTTCCAAATTCAGTAACCTCTCGTGCCTCTGCATGCAAATACATACCGCATATTTGAAAGTAATTGCCACGCCCATTACTAGCAGCAAGAAATATCCCACAGTCAACAAACAAATCAATCATGACACGGTCTCCGCCCTTTCCTAATAATCCCAGCACCTGCGGCCATGGGTCCACCTTGAGTTCATTGAAGTGCTTGTTGGGATACACAGGTACAAGTCTGCGAACAGCAAATAATGTTGCATTGTTAGCGTCCATGCGGCCTGCAGACGGGACTTTGCTAAATCCTTGACAAAGGAGGTGTTTGACAGAGGTGTTTTCCCTCATGCTGTTGTTGAAGAGTAACCATACTGCAAAGTCGACAATCTGAAAACATTATTTAGCCATGCAACACACACTCAGATAGACAGACGCACCTCAGATTGCGAGTGTCCAAGATCAAACGGGGTCACAGTTGTGTCCAACCCAGATAAATCTGCCTGATTCGTGAAAGAATTCCACCTGGTCGTCCGCTGGTCACTCTGTGGGTTCTGATGAGGTATACCAACCAATGTTGAGTCAAGAAACGGTCCAAGGCCATCTGCATCATCTATTGCAGTCTCCCCATCACGCCGATCAAGACTTCTTCTGCCAGCCGTCAACACCTTCTTCCTTCGAATTCTGGAGTTGCTAGGAAGCTTCACAAGCAGATATTCCCTCAACGTGAGGACCTCGGGATAGAATCGAGAGAGCAGGGACTGCTGTACCACATTGACCGGCGCATAGGAAGAATACGACAATATGGAACGTTTATTGGCCTTATCGATGGCCAGCTTGGCCCTGTGCCTCTTTCTCCCGCTAACCATGGTGTGAAAGTGATATATTGACAGAGAAGCATCACTGTCTCTGCGACTCAACGCATCTGTATCCCTGCTATGCCATGACGACAGAGCAACATTCCCCACAAGTAAAACACCAGCTCTCGCTCCGATTGTGGACGAAACCACACGCTTATATAATTACTATAGAGGTACGGGTGATGTCTCGACGCCAACGCGCTTCTTTTTCGCTTGTTTAAGGGTCCCTTTTGTGGCAGACGCGACGTCCTGGCGTTGTTGTTGTGGCGGCGGTGGCTCAAGTTCCGATCGTCAGCGGCCAATTGCATGACCTCTGAGTTGGCGGAGGCAGGTTAATTTTAGCGGCCTGGCAAGGATAAGCACTCGCGTGTACTTGCAACACCTCTGCGCATACACAACTTCATCGAAGACCACTCTTCGTCTGTTCCACTCGTTTCTTCTGCTGTTCTGCCATGCAAAGGGCGAGCAGGAACACCATCTATCAATCCCGCCATAACTTCCACGCGCGCTCACTTGACACCGTCTCTATACAAACGACCGTCTCTATACGAACGCATCCTCGTTCCTTCCGGGACCCTAGAGGAAGATCGACAATTTCTGCGTCACTACTTTCGTGAATCGTGAACCATCGCTCCAAGGAACCTCGGCGGCCTTGTCAATCGCTTTGCGACTGCCTGTATTCAAGAAGCCACCCTACGAAGATGATGATGCTATAGGACAAACCTCGCATCCGGCAATATACCTTCACTAGGACTCGGCCAAAGCTAGATACGAGAGGTCCATGACGCCTTGCCAGCATGGACTCTAGCCTCACAGCCGATCAGAACTTCTATGCGCAATCAAACCTGCACCAGCCCTTCCAGGATGACAACAATGAGACCGCGTCCATCTCGGGAGCCTCATCTGAACTTCGCGGCGGCGACGCAGAGCTTGCAAACAACAGTCTTCAATCAATGGGTATAGCTGGGTATACAAACGGCGGCGCGGCAGTAGATCTTGTGGATTTGCCCGACGACTTCTACAAGGGGTTTCAAGGGAAGCTGGATACAACCGGTGTCAATGCAACCAGCAAGCCTGCCTCTGGTCAGAGAAACAGCTCTACTCCGTTACTGAACAGCAATGGTACCACAGCAAAGTACCCAGTCATAGCTGGCTTGCACACGACGCCAAAGCAATCATACAGATCTGTATCCGCACCAATGAATGACGGCCGCGTAAAACCTGCGCCCGCTCTGAAAGGCGTGCCTCGAAGCCAGCAGCCAAGCGTCAGAGACTTGTTAAAGCGCTTCGATACTAATGGCGAGCAGCCAAGTTCACTTCCACGGAAAACTCCTCCCAGACTGCCACCAGCCAAGCCTCTCGATGCCTCCAACCGATATAGGCCAGCTGCGTCGATTCAAAAACAACAACCTATCATAAGACCTGGCCAGGCTACTAGAGAACCTTACGCCGGACCTGCCAAAACGACCCCATCGAGGACGACACAGCGGGATAGGTTCGCCGTTGAAGACCAGCGTTCGAACAACACTTTATCCTCCGCTGCTCGTTCCCCCAATATGAAGAATCAGTTTGGCGAGTTCACCGACGGCTCTCGATCCGTGTCGAACCTTGCCATTTCAATTATACCCCCAAAGCCCGCCGCAACAGACGCTACACGAAAACCACTCTTCGGAGAGATCGTCCCTACCGAATCTGGATCTCAAATAGCGTACAGCATCTCAGATCCTCGCAGTCGCGCTCGCCGAACCTCAGATTCCAGCCTCATGTCGCAATCTTGGTCTCATCGGCGAAGTTCGTCCGATGTCGACATATCCCCAACATCTCCAACTGCTTGGTATCTCGGCGTCACCCCAAAATTGGATGACCTCGGGATAGGCGCTACTCCAAAGCATGCCAGGGCCCACAATCGATCCCAGAGCGATTTTTCTGTGTTTCCAGCTTCCAGCGTCCTCGTCGGGTTTAATGATATGGGATTTATGAAATCAGACAAAAAAACAGACAAAAAATCTACGCCGAAGGCACCTTCAAAATCACGCCTGCCCATAAGCTCCAAGCGTACCAGCCATTCTTCGGCCTCTTCGACTCCCAGCACTCGGTCTTCCTCTCCGTTCGCGGCAAAAATGATTGCATCCAACAAGAAAGACCAAAAGACTGATACACGGCCGTGGAGCCCCCCAGGTCACGGGAGTACAGGCAGTCGACTTTCCGCTCGTGGCCAGGGCAGGAGCCCAGCTAAAATATCTACCAACAATGCTAGCCTGAAGGCTTATATCTCATCACCACCACCTATGAAATCTCCACCTCTCAGGAGTTCTAGGCCGAGGCAGCCCGTCTCGGCGGCTACTACCGCGAGCTCCCGAAATAAGGTCTCTGATGTTAGTTCACGGTCGAATTCGAGCTTCAGCAACCGTACAGAGAGTAGGATCCAGGAGAAGGCTCGGATCAACAGGCTAGCCTCCGCGGGCCCTGTGGACTACGCGGCAAAGCGAGCCCGGATACAACAGGCTTTTTCAAAAACGATACAAGAGACGGAGCAGAAAGAGAATGATCAAGCACCTCTCGAAGGAGCTGCCACACAGAACGAAGCGGATCCCCAGAGCCAGGTTGGCCAGCGCACAGAATACGTGAAAGAGCCCAAGCTAGTCGTCGACACCAGCTTCTCGGGCCCAGCAGCGTCGAAAGACTCTCCAACTTTGGGCATGCCCGGTAGCTTTCCTCGACAGCAAGCTGAAATCGATGAATCGCCATCCTCTGCAGTATCTAACGCTACGGTTGTCACTCTATTTGACCACCAGCTACAGACCGAACCGGCCCAGCATCATTCGATCTCGGGTTTCCCGCAAGATTCCACCCCGCAGCCATTATCATCTCAGCGAGACTCCATTGGCAGCCCCGAGGACTATTTCGACGCCAACGATGGCTCAATACAGATCGTTTTGGATGATGCGTCCAATGGAGAATCCCAGTTTCCAGACTTTGCCGATAGTCAACGCCAGGTACTAGATGATGAGCATCAATTGCAGCCTCTTATATTTGTAGATAATGCTCCTCAACTTTATGATCAAGAGACAGAGTCCACATCATTTGTCAGGGCCTCGTCTCCTCACTCCGCGTACGAGCCAGGGCCAATTATAAGTGATGTCCACCCCGAAGACGCCGCTGCTCTCCCTGAGATAGACCATTCCATGACCTTCAGCGAAGTCATTGCCACACCTGACAACGATGGGGCTGTGCAATCCGACGCTGGCGCATTTGCCCCTTCGACATTCTGGCCGTCTCGTCACAGCTCGCCAAGCCGAACTTCTTCGGGTTTGTCCAAACTAGATACATTACTATATTCATCACCAACAAAGCCTCCCAATCCACCTGGTATTGAAGGCTCGCCAGTGACGGAGATCGACTACGGAAGCTCAGGGAGCGTAGGTGAAGCTGAACACGTCGCTCAACATGGCAATCATCAAAGGGCCAGCCATCCATCAAACTGGTCAGATATCACCGTCGACGCCAGTAATAGATCGTCTTGGTATGTCAACACAAATTCGTCGTCGGGCCTGTTTCAAGAACCGTCTGTACCACCCCCACTGCCGCCCAAGAAGCCAATACTTCCGGCGAAACCAGAAGTTCCTCCAAAACCAGCAAACTATGAAGAGCTTTTCTCCCCCAGGCCCGATGGAGATGATAGTAATGACAGTTCCTCCGAATTATATTCGTCAATGACGGATCTGACGGGGATCAACCACATTATCAAACCGCCTCGGAGCAAGTCGACAATACCCCCAATACCAGCACCGCCGCCATGGCTTGCTGGGGCGCCGTCTTCGCCTGCACATCCTACTACGCGACGAAGGACACCCCCACCTTCAAACGCGTGGAATCGTCACCCACCACCAAGTTTGCATCGCTATAGTTTCAAGGACCCCGAGTCCAGGCGTGCCAGCGGAGATGATATGTACTCTTATCGACCATCTACCTCTACAGCCAGATCCAGCGCCCAGATTTCTGTGGAGGGGGATGCGGCTGAGACATCGCTCTCGAGCACAGACCATCTCTCTATCGATGCCCCGCAACACAGCGACGACAGTGTGGCCCCCGGAGCTGCTGCAGCGGCCCTCCGCCATCGCAAAATGCTCATCCAAGAGCTAATCGACACGGAGGCTGTCTATCTTAAGGATATGAACGTGGTGGTTGAAATTTATCAAGGCACAGCTGAGGCATGCCCAAAACTGGGCACTGGCGATATCAAAGCTATATTCCGCAACAGCGACGAGGTTATTGCATTTTCCGAGCGGTTCCTTGCCGATATCAAAGCTTCCAGTACCGCAATCTACATTCCTCGCTCGACAAAGTCTAAGCAAGCCGATGCGGCTAAATCTGTTGAATCTACAGACACCGGAGACAGGCCTCTATCACCTGCAGAAGACGAAAGTGACTGGGCAAAGGATCAAAAGACCACGATCGGTGAAAATTTCGGGCGCCACATTGAGGAGATGGAGAAGGTGTATGCTAATTTCCTGAAAAACAGTGAACAAGGGACAAGTCGTCTGCAATTGCTGCAGGCAGATCCTACAGTAAATGTCTGGCTGGAAGAATGCAATGCGGTTGCAAAAGACCTGACTGGCGCATGGGATCTCGACGCCTTGCTAGTAAAGCCGGTGCAACGTATCACACGATATCAGTTACTGCTGACGGGGATTGTCAAGAACACACCAGAGCTCCATCCGGATTACCCCTCACTGCAGAAATCCCTCGAGGATATCAAACGTCTCCTTGACAACATAGACGGTCAAAAGAAGCGCATTCACAAAGTCAATGAGATTGTTACTGGCCGCAAGAGGAAAGAGTCGGACATCCGATCTGGCTTAAAGAATCCATTTACTCGACGTGAAAGAGCAGAAACAGCTGTCCTGCATGACAGAGCGAATGAAGACCAGGAGTATCTCAAATACTGCGACAAATTCCACTCCGAATGGATTCATTTGCAGTTCATCATCCGAGATATCGACCTCTACCTCGAGAATGTGACTCGCTGGGTCGATGACTTTTTGCGCTATTTGTCTGCAATCGAACTGGTAGTCCGCGCATCGCCTTCCAGCTGTCCGGAGCTGGAGAGTAAATGGGCCCGGTTTAATCTGTCCATGAGAGATGTGGGGAAAGTAGCTTTGGAAGAACATGTAAGCGCCGCTCTCATCAATGTCCAACTGCTGGGATTGTACTAATATTATAACAGAAAGCTGCTATTCGGGAACACGTTCTGGAGCCGTTTTCCAGTCTTACCAAGGCGTACATTCCACCACAGGCAGCCTTGAAGAAGCGTAACAAACGCCGCCCTGATTTCCAGAGGTTCGAGACTTTGAAGAGCCAGAATCGAAAGATTGATGAGAAGCTTGCCGAGCAAGTCGAGCAATACATGGCCTTAAACGACACGCTCAAGCTCGAACTGCCAAAACTTTCGTCTCTCAATGAAAATCTCAAGGATCTCTGCTTGGCTCGCTTGATTACTACACAAGTTGCGTGGTACTCCATCTGGAATGATAAACTGAAGACCGTACTCGAACAGAACGAGCTACCAAAGGACATCAACGACATCCTCGACAAGTTCAACCGCGACTTCAGGCACCAAGATGCCAAGGCACAGGCTATGAGCATTCTGAATGGGAGCACAGTGGCATCAGCTAGAGGCCGGCTCTCACAGTCGACCGCAAGGGACGATGAGGTGTCTTTGAAGTCAAAGAGTAGGGCGTCTACCATTAACAACCGTACTCGCGGCCTGTCAACCCAAAGCGAAGCCACGGACCAGACACACAGATCTAGCGAGCAGCCTCGTGCATCTCTGGTTGCAAACTCGGCCAGCCTTGCTGTTGTTGCACTGGGAGGCCGTCCAGACGCTCGACTCAGTGTCGAATCTAGCGATAGGCCTCGGCCAAGCGGGGAGTCAGCGAACAGTGGCCACCGCTCGCTGTTTGAATCGTCATACACTCCCACACGATGGGCCGAGGGGCTTCCTCCTCCTGAACCATCGTTCTCTGACGCATTCAATTCAGCACTCCCGTGGTCTAATACCGACGGTTGTTCTCAAAATGACACAAGCAGGCGGTCGTCTCAGGTCCCTTCTGAGCATCGGGGCATCCCTCGTACCAGCTACAAGATTCTTTATGTAGTCGCCAGTCTGCACGAGTTCAACATTGAGGCTACGAAAACAGAGGCGGGCTACCCTTACCTCACATATGAAGACGGCGAGGTTTGTAATTGTTCCACCAAACATCAGCTAGCTAACCATTTCGCAGATCTTTGACGTGATTGCCGAAAAGGGCGAGCTATGGCTCGCAAAGAATCAAGACGACCCAATGGAAACGATCGGTTGGATTTGGAACCAACATTTTGCTAGGATGGTGGAATATTGATACTGTTCCTCGCATCGCATCTGGCAAAGACAATTTTCCTTCGATTGCTGACCTTGGAGTTATCCACGCGTTTTACAACGCCACTTCACTTCTCTCGCCGTGGATATACTTTGATATTCCCCACGGCGTTTTGGCTGAGACTTGGCAGCCATTTTTTCTGCAGGTTCTCTTCTCTTCTTCCCTTTAGCGCACTTTGCCATTTTGGCTTTATACCTCCAGTACTCTTCTATGTTGCTTTACTCATGAAAGGCTTTCGGAATATCAGTTGTATTTACGATGGGATGATATTAAACGAGGCTCGGATAGCGGGATGGGAGTCGATTTGAGTTGGGGCGAAATGGTCGAAAGTCATGTTATATATTACTAAAAGGAAGGGGCGATAACAGGAGTTGACGGAAAGATATATCGTGATGATGAGTAGGTGGAACATAGACAGTTGAACAATGGAAGAGTGTGATAATTGATATATCCGAGGGACATGACAGATATAGCTCTTAATTTAAGCTCCCCAGGGCCATCCCTCTCCGTAGAGTAAAATACCAAGGCCCATCCCCCAAACGCCGCCAGCTTGTGACAGCTTTGTTCCAGTTAAACGCCAGCCTATAAACCGTGCCCGCTCGCATGTATGTCAAAAAAAGTCCCACGTCAAACCTTTCGCTCGACTTGTACGCTCTTGCGATCTTTCTCCATCTGGCTGAAGTCACCATGGCCCTCAAGACTCTCCATGAAAGTCTGGATGGCATGGAAGTAACCTGGCTCCATGACGGAAGAGTTGTGGTCGCCTTCTTCAATGGGCTTCCAGATCTTTGTTGGGGATTGGCAGAGTTCGTAGAGCTTGCGCATATGTTCAGGACTGTAAGTGATCAGCCGATTTAGCAGATTACGGCTGTGAACATATATGATTATGTAAAGGACGAGGGATCAGACTTGTCGTAAGACGTCTTGTATAATCTGGGACCCGAAGGGCTCATGTTTTGTGGATGGAAATATAGTCATCATTTCGTCGGTGGGGATGGATATGAAATAGAGAAACGTACGGGACCATCTCGTCCTTGAGACCAGAGATGAAGAGTACCGGAACCTCGGTTATGGTGGGAATTATGGTTTCGGAGGGCCAGATCTGGTGGCAGAGGAGGGCGAGATAGCGCGCTGGTGGAATAACACTGCGATGGTCAGTTACGCACGACCTCAATGGAGAACCAAGGCAACTCACGAAGGGATAAGTTTCCTCATCGACAGAAAGGTGTTCTCAAGTATTAATCCCGAGATCTTCCCGCTCTTCTGGTTTTTCGCTACCAGTTGAATGCTGACTGCACCTCCCAGGCTCTGCCCATAGACTACAATCTTGTTGTTCTTGGTCTCGTGCCTGTTCGTCAAATAGTCCAGTGCGGTCTGTGCATCTATCATCAGTCCCCTCTCGTCGGGACTACCTGTGCTCAGACCATAGCCACGGTACTCCAGCATGAACACGCTGCAGCCCATCAGCTCCGCTATCATCTGCGCAATGGGGACACGGTGTCCAATGTTGCCGGCATTGCCATGGAACATCAGCACCGTTGTCGGCACAGCCTGAGCTTGGTTCGGTGCGCGGATGAAGAAGGCAGAGAGCTTCTCGCCGTCGGGTGTGGGGATCTGAAGGTCTTCATAGTTGTCGATGCCGTAGTGGCTCGGCTTGGGGACCTTGGTACGAGCATCGCCAGGAACATGCGATGGGTAGATGAGAGCTCTGGGAGTGTCGCGTGTCAGCTTGCATTGAATTGGGTGTTTGGAAATGGGTGAATGGAGACTGACTTTTGTTTGAAATAGAGAGCAGAGCTCAATATGACGGCAAAGCCCTATGACGAAACAGATTAGCAGGCTGCGTTGCGTTTCCGTACCCCTCTGGGCGTTGGATGAAGGCAGACTAACTGACGAGACCATGACTGGGACACGCATCCAGGAAGCACACGTCACACCGAAGGACGTGAGAAGCTCCAAGTAGGAAGGAGCTGCTGACCCATGAGCGGACATGCTCATCTCATGGCAAAGCAAGGAAGAGAGAAATAAGGGGGGAGGAGGAGGAAGACGGCACAGCCTGAGCTTGGTTCGGTGCGCAGATGAAGAAGGCAGAGAGCTTCTCGCCGTCGGGTGTGGGAGAGCAAGACAAAAGAAATGAACTAAAAGTTTGAAGTTCCAGATGAGATACGGAGCATCAGGTAGCAGGCATCAGGTGAGCCTCTTCGCCCGCCCTGAGTTTTGAGTTTTGAGATCAAAAGGGAAGAGTTGCAGATTGCTGAGATTGTTGGAGAGTTGTGGATAAAAAGGGTACTTGGCGAGACGCCATAAGCCCTACGGTAATGTAGGTACCCGACGGCTGGTCATTTTTAATTGCCTTGCTGGCAGCCCAACGGAGAGGAATGATATGCTAAGATCGAATAACTGGACTCCAATATTCTCTAATACACTCCATCATCTATTTCCAGTTTTTCTCAAACACTTCACGTACCAAAAAATCCCCATTTTCCAGCATTTTTCCCACGGCAGAAATCCCTGGTCACTGTTCAGGCTTCTCGTTGGCCCAACTGCCCCTCCCCCCCCCCAGAAACACATTAACAACAACATCTTTCCGACTTTCACCCTTCCTTCAGAGCCGGCACCCCCGACAACAAACCCTACAACTATCCTTCTTCGCGCCATCCCGACATCTTCCATAGACGGACTCATCATATAAAAGTCCACTCTGTTACACCGCTCACGCGAACATGGTCTCGTTTTCATGCGAGGTACGTACACACAGACCCCACTCAACCCCCCCCCAGCAGGCCTTTCTCTTCATCCTGGGCCTCACTTTATGGCCCTCACTAATTGCGCCTACAGGGTTGTGGTGATGTCCTCACCAAGAAGAAGCTGGACTCTCATATGAACCAGTGCCGAGGTGCCTCATTTACATGTCTCGACTGCATGGTGCACTTCTGGGGCACCGAGTATCGCAGCCATACTGTACGTTGTTTACCCCATAATCGTCGCGTTTGCTAACCCCTCGCAGAGCTGCATCTCCGAAGCCCAAAAGTATCAAGGCGCGCTCTACAGACCCGAGAAGGAGAAGAAGGGAAAGAATAACAACAATGGCGCGAGAAAGGCGTATATCGAGGATGCGCCCGACGTTGAGGACCACAACTCCTACATCGCCATCGTGGATGCGCCCCCAGAGGCTCCAATGCCGCCGTCAGCCGCATCAGACTTCGAGCACCAGGAGCCGGTAAATGTCTTCGATTTCTACGTTGGCGCGGAGACGCCCAACCCATCGACCATCAACCTCGCCGCTATAGAGCGACGCCGCCTCGAAGACGCTGCGCCTCCGACCCCGAGTCCAGCATACGCGAACGGCTCCGGAGCTGTGGTTCGTTTCAGCCAGATTGAGGATGAAGGTTCCGAAGCGCTCGTCCAGTACGGCAGTGGCCTAGTACCAACTGAGGTTCGCACACCGGCACCTAAGGAACGCAAGTCGAAGTCCAAGGACAAGTTCACCTCCGCCTCCAAATCCGACAAGAAGCGCAAGCGCCTCCATGTCGATACCTCAGCAACCCCATCCGTCGACCGTGACCTCGAGATGACCGACGCCCCACCAGTGTTGCACTCGGGCCTCACCGGCGGCCTCCAGAAGATGATGGCGCGTGAAGGCACCTTCCCACCCAGCCCAGATTACTCGGGTGACAACGTGGAGGCGTCGCCTGGCAGCCCACTCAAGCGCTCCAAACGCACCAAGGAGACCAAGAAGCATCATAGCGAGGGTGGATTCGGCACGGCCATCATGCAAATGATTACCACCACGAAGAAGCCGCGGAAGAGCAGTAAAGATCACAAGGATAAGAAGGAGCGTAAACACGACGAGGACCGCCCGAGGAAACAGTCGCGTACCAAGAACAGGGATGCCGACCAGAAGATGATCGAGTACAAGTCCTCCGCGGATGTCTCGCGAGACCCAGGCCAAATGGTGGTGTTCAAGGCGTCTGATGGCTCGAGGGGGCTCGCAGGGATGCTCCTCGGATTCGTGAGCAAAGGCCCAGGGAGCGAGCGCGGGGTCAGCATGAACAAGGCTCTGAAGAGATATCATCGCATGAGGGCATCCAGCGGACTCGGGGCCGGCAAGGGTGCGGAAGAGAAGGAACTGTGGAAGAGCTTGAGGATGCGGAAGAATGATCGGGGAGAGATAGTCTTGTTTTTCTAGGATCCCTAAGATTTCGAATGGACGATGGAAAGCATTTTACGGCCGACCGATCGATCGAACATTTTGATTCTTGTGTATACATCTCTTTAGTACTATCATCGTCACGATTCGTGCGAGCGGGTTGGGTTATCGACGCATTAGAGCGTGCGCTTCTTGGTACCTCCGTTTAATAATTTCGATTTTTTTTTTTTTCCACGTTTTGTCAGTTTGCATTTGGTTCGTGTTGAGAGAAAGAGTCTGGCACTCAGCGCAAGAGCGGTTGGCATGTGGGCATTGAAAGGGGTTGTGGCGTTGTTGTGGGTTCTGGGGCCACCCGGGGATCGGATGCATTTCATTGTCATGGATAATAGATACCAAGATGTTCTCAAGCATGGGATTCAACGTTTGGTGCGTTCAAGGGGATACTCCGTCTGGCTACGGAGCGATATCCACGGTCGGTTTGGAGGCGTCTGTACTTGTTATATATAGTATTGATATTATTCTGCTTGTCCACCTTACTAAACACGTTTTATGTGCACAGAGAGACCCTAGTCTATTGCCCTTGACGCCTGGCAACTGAATAACCATCCCGTATATCATTTCCCACATATGTTCAATCGTCATCGTCCTTCCCACTCGTGTAGTCCCCAAGGAGGATATCATCCTGGCCCAATCCTGTGCTCGTGTTCCTCACCCACTCGGTCTCGACGCGGAGGAATATCCAGATCCAGCGTCTGAACACCTCTAGCACCTGGATGCAGAAGATGCCACCCTCCCAATCGTTAAATTGGTCAAGGTGGGGGCTCAGTTTCAGAGTCCAGGTGATCCGCAGGAGAAAGTCAAGACCTATAGCCACATAGTAGATCTCGCTTGCCCGGAAGACCATCTTGCGGCGCAGGCCATACGGATGCTCTGGGTTGGAGCGTGCAGGTGAAAGGAGAGTGAGGTCCCAGTCATTAGCTACGTCCCAGTAGAATGAGTAGAGCGAGTTGACAATCACAGCCAGTAGCCAGAGTCGGTATAGTGATGTCTCGGCAGCAGTAGCTGTTGTCGACGCGTCTGAGCTACTTCGCTGCATGGCACTCAGGATGATGACGGGGAAGGCGGTGGCATATTTCAGCGCGTTAGCCAGGTGCACACCGCCTGACCCAGTGGATACCAGACTTGTTGTTCGGTGGTTGGCGTCCCGCAGGCGTCCGAACTCGATTAGACATTGTCGAAATCGGATGGCGCTTGGGATGGCGATGATGAGCGGCACCAGGAAGCGTCCGCCGCAGCGACGATCGGGCTGCTCTGTCGCTGATTCGTTGGTGGTCAGTAACATGCAGACGGATATGAAGAGGTCTGCGAGGATCTTGGAATAGGAGGTGAGCACATCGGCGAGGAGGATATCGCCGAATTTGCCATCTTTGGTCTCAGCAATTCCGCCCACAGAGACGCGGCGCAGGGTTTTGAGGAAGTGGTATCGCCCTGTTGTGGAATGGTATCGTAGTGGGATAATGAAGAGGAGGGCGAGGAAGAGCAGGTAGGTCATCGGCATCCAGTCGTAGAAGATGACGAGTTCGGCATCGCGGTGGGAGAAGATCCAGAACGTAACGAGTGACAGGCCGAGAGAGCCGGAGAGAATGGTCGCCAGACGGTATGTAGAGAGATGATGTGCGGCTTCGGTCAAAGATTGTCGGCCGGGGTATCTTATGAGGGCGGGCACGTCCTACAACGAAGTCAGGAGGGCATTCAACGGAGTGGACGGTCAACTTACGATTTTAAGAAAGGTCAGGTACTGCAGGTTGGCGCCCCAGGCCCAGACCGCTAGAGGATGTCAGCAAGAGAGTATCAATGGCAGAGGAAAAGAGCGTACCAGCAACAATTATAAGAGCGCATCTGTATGGCAGCGGCAGCGTCAGACTGAACGAGTCGAGCTGTGGCTCAACAGACGGGTCTCCATCCATGGTAGCGTTGTGAAATAATAAGCATCGAGGCCAGCGATACAGAACTTCCAATCCCTAAAGATGTATCCAGCTGTTCTGAGGAGAAGACAAAATATGTCGATGTCGCCAAGTTTGCAAATAAATAAATAAATTTATTAATACAATTAAACAATTAAATGTTGATTTGACCCGAGTGTCAGTCGTGACACATGGAACATAGATAAAAGCCGCCAAGACCCCGAGATAGGAAAGGCGTTATTTGATAAATGCTGGGAGTTGGTCCCACCACAGCCAGCGTCCAGCCTCGGCTTCATATCCGCCATCATATTCATGATCGACTTTACAAAGCCGCAGCTTCATTTATCCTCAACCTACTCGAACCAGATCAGCTTCTACTGCCACGACATACAGCCTACGATCTATATTAGTTGGCGACCTCAATAATTGGCTCGAAACACCTCTCGAAGGGCCCTGAGCCTTTCAACCCACCATGTCCGATCATGTGTCCAAGACACCTCGCCCAGCTCCCTCCGCGCCCTCCACGTCCTTCAACTATCCTTTCGCCGCCGCACCAGACATAATTCGCTCACATCAAAAGGATGCATACTTTGAGGGCGTCCTCATGAACCACATTTCCGACATCCTGCGACAACTCTACGGCGCACGCTTCCTCCACAAGTGGACGGCCGAGGCTAGCACTTTCGCCGATCTCTCATATCTCGCCCTCACAACCCTCATCGGCAACCGCACACTCGGCGAGGAATACTGCGATATCATCCAGATTGAAGACGACACCCTCAGGTTACCCAGCATAACACGCCGAGCTGGCTACATCCTAACCGCCATCCTTCTCCCATACTCCCTTAACCGCCTCCTACCTTCGTTCCGCGCCCGGATCCGCGCCAAGCTCGAGCGCAACCTACGCCGCCTATCGAAGGATCAGCAACAATCCTCACGATCCTATAAGTTCCAGTCATACATCCTAAGACATCTCGCTGCAATCACTTCCCTCTCACCCATCCACGCCGCCACCCTCACCGTCTTCTACTTCACCGGCTCGTACTACCAGCTTTCCAAGCGTATCTGGGGCCTGCGCTACATCTTTACCAAGAAAATCGGGGAGTCAGAAGCCCGAATCGGCTACGAAGTTCTCGGTGTCCTCCTTGTTCTCCAGATCGCCGTCCAGAGCTGGATACACCTTAATTCGACGGTTGCCGAATTCTCACAGCCTGCCCATAGCGCGAATGCCCAGGCCAGCGGCACTGCCGTCCTCGACAATGGAGTCGAGATTTCCCTCAACGAGAATTCATTCACTTCCAGCAATGAGCTGCTGCTAGATGCCTCTACAGGCGCGGGGTCCACCATCAATATCGAAAGGGCGATGCATACACCCGTCCTCAGCGTGCCGAGGGTGGAGCTTAAAGGTGATGATGTGATGGCGTGGATTAAGGGCGCTCAGCAACGGCGCTGTACATTATGTTTAGAGGACCTGAAGGACCCGAGTGCGACGCAGTGTGGACATGTATTTTGCTGGACGTGTATTGGAGACTGGGTGAGGGAGAAGCCGGAATGCCCGCTTTGCAGGAGAGGCTGTCTGGCGCAGCACATTCTGCCGTTGAGGTCGTGAGGGGCCGCATTACGAGGCCTAAAGATATCCCAGGCGAGCTGTAATACTACAAATAGCTGTAATATAGATGCCATATATGCCACAGGGCAGTGTCACAATTTAATGATCTTGTCATGCTTAATCACTCGTGTGCAAGGTTCTAAAATGATATTTTAGCTTCTAATACAACACTTCCCCCACTCCTTACTCGCCATCTTTCATTCAGTCACAGGCTGGTGCCGGCACTTCTTCTGCTACACTCACACTCACTTTCATCGACTTCACCAGCAACCGCCGCAGCCGTTGCCCCCTCGGCACTCTCCTCCCACGCTCCAACCGCATCCTCCCAATTCTCCACAACGCTCTCCTGCCTCTCTCTCTCCTTTACATTCCACTTCTCCTTCTTCTTCCCCGCCGCTTTGCTCCCAAGAACCGTAAACGAATTCTTGCCACTGGCAGCCCACTCGTCGATGACTCTCTTCTTCACAGGCGCACCCTTGACAACCTGGCTCCACCCTCCCGCAGAGCCGGTGTCCTCTCTCCGTGAAACATTCAAGCTCGCATCCACAGCGCAGAGCGCGACAGCTCCCGCCAGCTTCTTCTCGAGCACCACCTTGATAAGTGCAGGCTTGAGGCGCAGCAGGGTTGCCTCGTCGACGCCATCTGCGAGACTCGCGCGTACCACGATCTCCTCACTAGGGAGAAACTCTATTTTCCACCCCGCGATCTGCGCGGTTGCCGGATCGGATGCAACAGCAGTGCGGAGCTCATCGAGGGTGAGTGCGAAGCGTGGATTGGCGAGTAGCAGCGCATTGAACGGAACACCCGTGGTTGCTGGGGCGTTCTTGGGCGCCTCGACCACGGGGCGAAGCTTGAGGCACTGGCTGAGTGTCTTCATCGGTGCGCTGAAAAGCGTGGCGCCTTGAAGAGGACTACGTGTCGGTGAGGCTCCGGGTCGACGGATTCGGTGTCGAGGGCAAAGTCTTCAGCGAGGGAGTGCAGGAAGGCACGTTGGGCGGCGGACATGGGCTTGAAGCGGAACTGCTTGGCAGTCGTGTCGGCAGCGAAGACGCGGAACTCGCGCTCTTGCGTCTGAGTGCTTCCTTTGAAGTAGTCGAGAGTGGCGGTGGAGTATGGAATATGGTCATCCGTGTTGTCGGATGGGATATTGAGGGCGGCAGCAAGCTTGGCATTGCGCTGAAGGCGGAGACATTCGTTGTCGCAGGCCAGGGTCTTGCGTTCAGTCACTAGCATCACTTTGGTAGCTAAGCAACGTATTTCCTGCTTTAAGTGCTGGCAGGCGCATGTTATGATAACCTTTGCCTGGCACGGCTTGTCTTCTTTGCACGGATATGGCGCGTGGCAGGGCTCGAGGCAAACGTGACCGCAACCGGGTGTGGTCTTGGTCTTACCGCAGACATGGGGACATTGGGTGAGGAAAGCATCCTCACAATCGCCAGCCCGATGGCATGGCTTCTGGCACGAGTGAATGCCACAACGAAGGCGATGTCGGCAAGTCTGTCCACAGGAGATCTGGTTGGACCAGCAAGGTTGGTTTTTAAGGATTTTCTTGCCGCACATGCATGTCTTCTGCACAAGGTACGGGCACTTGGGGCAGGGCTCTCCATCGCCGTGGCATTGGTGGTTGACTGGGGGATGGCCACATGCGGTGCGCCTATTGCATTAGGCCACTTCAGCAGCTGCTACACTCGCGAGTGTAGCAGCTGCGATGTGGTGTAGCTTTAGCCTAGAGTAGTTAGCTGCTGTATATAGCGTAATATACGATAATTTGAGGACCTGCTTGAATTGTTCACATTTTACAACGCTGGACTTTGCCATTTTGACGAGAAATGGGAGAGCTGCGGAAACTGGTTTAGATGTAATTCTCCCCTTCCGGCCATACCCCCCACGGCGTTCCCTTTGTAACACCCCACGTGACATAGAGCCCTTTGTTCCCTCTGTAGAATACTGGCCTTTGATAAATTTTTCTACTTCAGTAAGTGCTTTGGAACTGGGCGGGTGGAGGGAGAGGTGGTGACAGCTGGAAAAAGATACATCGCGGTACTTCCATTACCATACAAATATATATGCAAGTGGAAGTACCTATATGTACCCTTTTGCGACCGCTGCCAACTCTAGTATAGCAGAATGGGAACAATTCAAGCGGGTCTATAATTTGAAGCTGGAGATGTCATCGTATATAGGTACATATGGTGATCCGCCTGTGATTCCCGCCTATAAAAGTGATAATTATAATGCCAGGAAGCCAGAGCCAAGCCCGAGGCCGAAGCCGGAGACAGAGAACGAGGATGATATCGTTGTCGGGTCTTCTTGTCATCCTCGCAAGTATAGTAGAGGACGAAGAAGAAGAGCACCGAATATGGGCTCGGCGTCGTCAGTATCATCATCGCCGTCATATTCAGCAACGCCGGCGCATCTCATTTGAGAGTTTGGACGATGTCCAAGCACGGCAACTACTAAGGCAAGCACTCCTCTTCTTTGCCCCTTTTCATTTATATTAACTAATAACTATGTAAATAGGTTCTCGATGAGTGAGATCCACCAACTTACTATACTCTTTCAGCTCCATAACGTGCCATGGAGCGGTAGAGTACAGCCAGCGCCATGGATGGCGCTTTGCGTTGTATGTGCTAGGCTTGCATTTCCAGGGCGGTGGGTATCACTTGCTGATATATTTGGCCGCTCTATAGCCTGGTTAACTACTGTATTTACAGATACAGTACTCTTCCTACATCAGTCTTACTCAAGGATGCTTCAATGGCACCCTCAACTTACATATGAGAAGTTAAAAGAGTTCGCAGTGGCTATTGAGAGAGTAGGGGGTGCAGATGGGGTTTGGGGCTTTGTCGATGGTACTTTTCGGTCTCACCAGCGTCCGCAAGGGCAAGATGCTCAGCGGCTCGTATTCTCAGGCCATAAACGGGCTCATGGAATCAACTACCAAGCAGTAGTAACTCCCGATGGTTTAATATCATCACTAACAGGCCCGTGGCCTGGTCCTGTAAATGATTGGGCGATGTGGTGGCGCTCTGGTGTAGAGGAGCATATACGAGAGGTAAGAGTATTCTATTATCATATTACAATACTAACAACCATCTAGGTTATGCAAGATCATAATCTATTATATCTATATGGTGATCCTGCATACCAAGCAGGTTATGGTATGGCTTGCCCATGGGCGCACCCACAGGGTAGACACTTTCTTTCAGATGAAAGGAAGGCTTGGAATAGAGCCCTCTCTTCGGTCCGGATTGCTGTAGAACAGGCGTTTGGAGGAGTGCAGGTTCTATGGACATATACAGCATTTGGAAAGGCACTCCGTTCAGGATATCAGCCAGTTGGGGTTTACTATCCTGTTGCAGTTCTATTATCAAATTGCTTTATATGCTTCCGTCATACATCAGCATCTGGATCACGGTTTGCAGTGCCTCCACCATTAATAGAAGAGTATTTATCATTATAAACTATATAACGTGGTTTATCAGTACGTCGGACATATCAGTACCTCGGACACTTTTCATTGGCATTCTACTTTGAATATCAATAAATCAACCATAACATATTAAATTAACTATAACTAAGCGGAATCAGATGAACTAGACATATCTATAGCTTCTTGACAAGTTCGCGCATTATGACCAGCTTTTCCACAGATCCCACAGCATCGCCTAGACGGTTGCCCCTCCTTGCGACTACCCCCAACCGCACGTACGTCGCGTCGTACCTGCTCATCCACATCCTTCTGTGCGATAATAGCCTGTGCATCCTCTACTATAAGTGCACCTCCTTCACGGACACGAGCCTTTTTAGCCCTGCGGCGTTTGCTAAGGGCTTCGTTGGCTGCTCGAAGGGTACGTACCTCAGCAGACAGAAGGGTGTTCTCATGTGCTAGTCGCTCCGTACCCTTTGCCAATGCAATAACTGTCCCGAAGAGTGGAGTTGGCGAGCTTCCTTGGTGACGGGCAATTCGATTTCGAACGAGGGTTGTTTGTGAAAGAGCTTCAGTTGGGTTGGAAGGGGTCTGGGAGACCCAAGGGTTGGTGTTGGCAGTAGAGGGTCTAGAGGGAGTTGGAGTCCGTAACCTCACGTCAAGCTTTGAAAGCACTGCTTGCGGGTCGAAAGGCACTAAGCCAGCTCCGCGGAACCCGGACTGGGCGTTTTGGGCTGTCATGGATTCCAGATATGCTGCTCTAAAGGCGAGAAAGAACTCGACCTTGGTAATGTGGTTGATATGAGCCTTAATGAAGGTCTCAATCTGCCGACCATATGCCCGCTTCAACACACTAAAGCACCTGATATCAAGTGGCTGAGTTAAATGAGACGAGTGGGGAGGTAGTCCAAGAGTTATAATGTTGTGTGCCTTGCAGTACTCTTGGAACTCGGCCGATTCATGACTCTCGTGCCCGGCTAACACCAGCATTCGATATGGACCCCTTTGTTACGACGGAACAAGAAGGCTGGCCAACTACAGGACAGGAAGGAGGGAGGTCGCATGAGACCGGCCCTGGTACCTGGAGGGGCAGCGGGGAATAGTAGTTCCGAAAGTATCACGTGACGGACTCGCAGGATGATGAGAAGAGTCCTAAGAGTCCAGGACTCCGAGGACTCGAGTGAGTTCCCAGGAGTCCACTAGGCACGTGATGGACTCGCAGGATGATGAGAAGAGTCCTAAGAGTCCAGGACTCCGAGGACTCGAGTGAGTTCCCAAGAGTCCACTAGGCACGACGCCACTATATAAGTAGATAGTATTTCCTTAGATAGGAGCTTCGTGCTCAACTCAATACAGTATTTGTTATATACTAGTAACGTGTTACTTGAAGCCTTTGTGTCTGATCCCCTGCCTCCTCTGATAAGTAAACCTTTACGCAAGAGAACCTCTGTGTCTTCTATCGTTTAGAAGTCAGCGTTACACTTTGAGCACCACTTCTACGAGGTACCGGCTTACACACAAAGCAACATGTCTGTCGTCAGTTCGAAGGGGAAAACCCCCACCACGCCAACTTCGTCTCAGAGGTCTAAGCCTGAGAATGAAGAGATGCCCGATGCACCCACCGTCAACGAACTCAAGGAAACTCTACGCGTCAAGTTGCCCGACACTTACTCCGGCAACCGAAAGGAACTTGAGGTGTTTTTGCTACAGGTCGAACTGTACCAGCACTTCAATGATGAGAAGTTTCCCACCCAGGAGAGCTATGCCCTGTGGACTGCGTCCTACCTTAGGGGGGAAGCCCTGCGATGGATCGAACCATTCCTCAAGGACTATTTCAAATATGAAAGTACCAATGGAAGCATGACAACTACGCAGACTATGTTTGGCAGCTGGAATGGATTCTGTAAGGAAATCCGACGCATGTTCGGAGACATCGATGAGATTAAGACTGCAGAAGACCATCTGTTTGCACTTAAGCAGACTGGCAGCGCCCTCACATACTCCACAGAATTCCAGAGATACGGCAATCAGACAGGATGGGACGCCAGCGCACTCATCAGCCACTACCGACGTGGGCTGAAGAGCCATATACGTATGGAACTTGCCCGTTTGGAACAACAACCAACGGACATGGTAGCGCTAATCGAACATACGGTCCGAATCGACAATCGACTATACGAATTCCAGAAGGAACGTCGGACCTATGACAAGCCCAAGAAAAGTTACCCCTACCAGGGAAACGAGGGCAGACGACGGGATCAACACCCGTGAGACAACCGTTGGTCGGACCCAATGGAACTCGATGCCACGTTCAAACCTGGACGACCCCGTGACCCTAAGAAAGACAGACAATTCAAGGAACGACTCTGTTTTAACTGCGACAAGCCAGGCCACATGGCCCGAGACTGCAGACAGCCAAAGAAAGGGAACGGCGGACGCAAAGTCGGCAAACAACTCAATGCCACCTGGACAGGACAGTTGAACGCAACGTTTGTGAGCAAACAGGACTGGGGAATAAACGGCGAAAGCACCCCAGAAGACGAGAGCTCAGATGAAGGGTCGGAGGCGGAATCGTTCACCGTCTCGGAACAAGAGACCTTCGATGAACTCGCACCTACGGAACCAATGAGTCCACGGTGCAAGAGCGTAGTAAGACGCATGGCAAAACACGCCCACGCGAAGATTAGGGCCGAACGAGACAAGCCCAATGGCCAGAGGAGAATCCCCATGCTTAAAGACCTCTACGGGAACCTGTTACAGGAACTTCCGTTAAAGTGCAAGGTGGACGACTGCAAGGATGACCTCTGGAGATACTACGACCAACTAACGAATACCCGCAGGCTGCTTGGCACGTCCCAAGACGTAGCTAAGTTGGAAGCCCAAGAAGCGGAAGAACTGGAGAAGGATGTCGAGCATATGGCTAAACTGAAGTATATGAAAAGCGTCAAACTTTACTACCAGGACCGCAGGAGAGCCCTGAAGAAGTACGACGAGAAAGCCAGAGATATGCTCCGACGGGAAAATGCGAGACCCACTCCACGCATCGAAAGGAGAGCCATGGAGCAACTAGACACGTTCTCCACGCCTCCGAGGGAAGATAGTGCATGGGTGAAAGGACAGCGGGAACTATCAATGACAGACGCAACAGAGACTGATCATCCCTGGCACGCGTATGTCTACTGGGAGTATTGCAGCGAAGATGACTGCAAGCTCCACTGGAAAAAGAAACACCAGAATCAGTTGTTTCCCCGATCCTCGCCCAGGATACACTTCAGAGACGCAGAGCAAGTTCACGCCCTCAGGCGAAGCCAGTCTGAAGGGGACTTGCCTATCAAAAGCGAACAGGTATACGAGAAATACCCACATCTGCTAGACGAAGCAGAAGAGCGAGGGAAACGATCTCCCCAAGGACCACCATTGGAAGCGGATGAATACTATCCTTCCTCGGACGAGTCAAAAAACTAGGAGTCCTCGACGGTAGGCCACCGGCGAGCGACACGAAGAGGC